AGACCATGGTGAGGCAGGCTGTGCCCAAGCAACCCATGGAGGACCCCATGCTGGAACAGGGGGATGCCTGGAAGAGGCTGTGAACCTGTAGGAAGCCTGTGTTGGAGCAGGCTCGTGGCAGGGGACCCACAGTGGAGCACTGTGCTCCTCAAGTGACACACACTGGAGCAGTTTGTGAAGAGTTGCAGCCTACAGAAAGGACTATGTCTGTTGAGGACTCCCTCCCGTGGAGGGACCCTAAACTGAAGCAGGGGAAGAGTGTGAGTTCTCTCCTGAGGAGGAAGGGGCAGCAGAGACACCGTGTCATGGACTGACCACAACCCCTATTCCACATTCCCTTGCACCACTGGAGAGGAGGAGACAGAAAAGTCCGGTGTAAAGTTAAGCCCAGGAAGAAAGGGGTGGGAGGAAGGTGTTTTAAGATTTGGGTTGTAGTTCTCATTATTCTACTCTGATTTGATGGGTAATAAATTGAACTGATTTTCCCCACGTCAAGTCTGCTTTGCCCATGATGGTAATTGGTGGGTGATCTCTCCTTGTCCTTACCTCGACACACAGGTCTCTCATTATATTATCTTTCCCCTGTCCTGCTGAGGAGAGGAGTGACAGAGCAGATTTGGGGGGCACCTGGCATCCAGCCAGTGTCAACCCACCACAAGTGCCAGCAATTATTTGATTAAATCAAATGTTTCTTCCCTGTGTTGCAGGTTTGCTGTCAGTAGCCATCATGCTGTTGGAAGTGTGTGTTCCTGGATGTCGACAGTTCAGGGTCCAAGCTGGCAGGCCAACCCTGAGCAGGTGAAATTCATACTTCTCTTTTTGTGTCAAGGGAAACACAAAGACCTCTATGCTGAACTCCTAGCACCATCACAAGCATAGAGGGGAAATAGTCACTTGAAAGCATGCTGGCATGTGTTTGTGATCCCTTCCTGCTTTCACTGCTTTTTTTTTTGCTGCATTTAGGATGCAATATCTGATATATATAATCTTTTGATTAAGCCATTGGCAGGTCAGGTGGGCAATCGCTTTGAAAAGGTGTAGGTAGAACGTCACATATCCTCTGCTAAAATTGCCACCCATGTAATCATGCTATAAAGGAGTCCTAAAAAAGAAAGGAAACACAGAACATCTCTTTTTTGGGAAGAAAGCTGCTGCCTCAAGCTAAAAGTTCATGCATAGTTATCTTTACTAGCTGGAGTAGCCCTTTTGATGAGCTTATAATTGTGGGGATGGGAAAAGCAGCCACTTCAAAAGGCTAATATTAACTAGGGTATGCTAGGGAGCAGCACACTAGTGCCAATGATGACTTATAAATGGAGGATGTGGGATGTGTTCTGTTTGACAGTGAGAGTTAATGTTTCTGACTAATTTTCCTTGAAAGAGTGTTTTCCTCTATTTCAGACTCTAAGCTTATTTGTTCAGCTAAACCCTGCTATAATCAGGATGCTGGCTAAAAATTGCGGACAAAACCCATGCAGTTTCTTTAGGAGAGGTTTGCATAAAACGTTTGAGCATATATAGCTGCCATTATCAGGATCAGCAACACTCTTTAAAAACAGTGAAAATTGAGTTTGACATGCAGTCTCCTCAATCTAGGTGGATGGGGCCAAAGAAAAACATCTAACATCTAACCTGTGATGAAAGTCACAAGTAGTAATAATACTGGCATTTAAAAATCTTCAGAGGTTTAAGTTAATAAACTTGAGTTTTACAGGCAACTAGCATCTTTTTTATGATTAAGTCAAATAAATGCCTCCTGAAAATAGCTGTACTGGCAGCTAAATTCATTAATCTGCATTTTCCTGAACAGATTCTGCAATAATTAATAGAAGATTAAAAAGTTAGCTATTGTTTTATCACAATTTCACATCTGCACAAGTTTGATTTCAAGAGTATGTCAGGACTTCCTGATATTCCTGTGCTTCAGCTCCTAGCTTTTTTTTTTTTCCTAAGTCTTTGGTATTAAGATAGGAATATATATATACCTTTTGCAAAACCATCTGCAAAGAACTTTTCAGTCCATGAAAGGTCTGACGCTAAAAAACATACTGCATTTCTATTTCAAGAAGATCTTCTAGAGGTCCTGAAGATTCATTAATACTGCTTTTAGAGGGAGCAGTCAGATTGTGACTTCACTTTTCCCACATTTGATTTGTAGCACAGCTCTTCTTGTTTCTGATAGGAATAGTGCTCCAAGTTCCTGGTTGCTGACTATGCTGCTCAACAACAGTTGTTAACAGCAAAGTTTGAGAAGAATCTATACAGGAAACTCTCCTTTGAGTTTGGACATTTCCATTCATGTGAGTAACCTCTGAGCAAGGACCAATCTCCTGGATCAAGATGTGGCCTGGATATCTCTTTGGGCAGAAGGAGGGTGACTGGGGCACACAGATGCTAGTCCCCTGTGGGTGTGCCAGTGACCAAGTGGTGAGGTGCGCCACATTAACAGCTCAGTTCACATGTAGCCACAGTTACCAGAGGAAATGTGCAAAAGTTTCTGAGAACAGGGTCATTTATCTTTGTGCAATAAAAGCACTTCTTTAGTATCAAAAAGAGCAGAAATACTACTAGGAACGGATGGCAATTATAAATATCTCTAGTTCACAGCTTTCTCTAAGTGGCTGTCATATCTTCTGGGTCAGTTTTCCTTCTTATCTACAGCAGTTTAATTCTACAGATTCATCGGTTTCAGGGTAAAATGAAATCAGGAGAATCAGGCTCAAAAATGTGTTTTTCTTTTGATCTGTAATGGGAAAAGAGATTTGTGGCAAGAGGTGCCTTTCAGTTATTTCAATTTGATTTATGAGTAACTCAAAGCAAGTCAGAGGAATTGGGCTGGTAAGAAATGGGAAATAAATGTTGGGGGTTGGATTCACACTTGTAGAAAAGGGATTTTTTATTACCTTTCTACCAAGGAACACAGCTTTTATTTATGATCCACCTGCCCCCAAAAAATTAAGGCTTAATCCAAGTGCAATGAAGAGCAGCTTGATCCAGTATCTGGCAACATCCTTTCCAGGAGCTAATGCTATGTTTTCCTCCATGGAAGATCTCCTGAGATTGATTTACACTGGGGAAGAAGATGGAAGCAGAAATCAGATATACTCCTTTTCTCTTATGGGAATCTTCCTCTCTCTCTCTGTATGTATGTATTTACATAATATACACGTATGCACACACATATGCACATGCACGCTTTCCCCAAAGCAGCTTCAAAAGTGTTAAAATTTTCATGAGAAATGAAACAAAGATAAGACTTCCCAAACATGAGCCATGTCCCATGACTAAATGTTCTCCCTTTTTATAGGGGTGATGTCTGGTTTTCTGCATAAAGGCCTTGAGTACATCTTCCTAGATAACTGAAACAATTGAGGTTTTCAATTCACTATTCAAGGTTTTTGAGCATTTGCTCAAAACTGATTCTAGTCAAAATAAAGCAAATTCTTGTCTTTGTAGCAACCTGGTAGAGTTAAATTTAGTGTGATGAATAAAAGTTGGAGTGATGAAGAAATATGAAAGAATGTACCTAATATCACAGATTATTTTTACTGTGCAAAAAAGTTTTTTACATTGGTTCAATGTTAAAAAAATATTATTTGGAACATCAGGTTGCAAAAATAGAAATTCCTTGCAGCAATATGCAAGTGCTGATAAGTAGGCAGAAGCTGGTGATCTTGATACCAATATGAATGATTTTTTTTAATTACATTTTTGTTAATAGTTGAAATCTAAAAATGTTACTATAAAAGGAAGGGCACCATACATAGTGTATATGCCCATATTCAAAGCTACTTTTTAAGACAAGGCACAGAGAGAATAAATACATGTATTAAAAGAATACAGGGAAAAAAAAAAATCACCTGAAGTTAGAATTGGAATTTTGATCTGCAACATGAGGAGTTAAATGGCACAGAAATTTTAAGTTGCCACAAGTCTTGATGTTAAGAAGATGTAAAAAGAAATCTTTATTCTACCACACAAAATCCCTGTTTAGTTAACTGAGGGGTTGTGAAGGCAGATCCAGTGCAATCAATACTGAAGAAAATTCCCCATTTGAGGATTTTGTCAAGAGGATTCTTGCAGGTTAGATTACAGCAGCATCACTATTACATTTATATTGTATGTTTTGTAGTAGACAAATGCTCAATCTTAGAGCACTGCCTTTGCTAAAAGAAATGTGAAGGGGAAGATGAAGTTCTATTTTCAATAGCATGGGAAAAAAAGTTGAAATAGAGTATTTATTCCTAAAACAATTAGTCATGAAAATAGAAAAAATAAGCATCACATTACAAGAAATTTGAAAGGTTCTTGGCATAACTTAAATACAAAATACCTTTCCTTTTTGTGAGATAGTGTTATATATGTCTGTTTCTTTCTTCTCTACTCAAGATAGGTAAATATCAAATACAATTTACCTCAGAGGATCTTTCTAGTTTAAATGTAAACAGGCACATACATGATCAATAATATCTTCAGCCAAATTCACAGACAGTAGAAAGAAAAGCTCCTGGCCTTGTTTTTTGGTTTGTTATGTTTTGTGGGTTTTTTTTTTGTTTGTTTGGTTGGTTTTTTGTTTTTGTGTTTTTTTTATTGTTTGGTTTTTTTTGTTTGTTTGTTTTTTTTTTTTTTTCCCCAGCTAGAGTTATTCAAATATTTGATGGTGGGGTTTTTTGTTGTTTTGTTTTTTTTTTTTCTGTTAGTATTTCAGATGAGCCTGAGATAAACCACTGAATCTTTACATAGTAATCTATTTCTAGCAGTTCAGGAAGCTCAGTTTTGGACAAAGATGTTTTGAGTTCTCTGTTGGTTCCATATATGTTTGGCATGTAACAGAGAAATGCCCAGGAAAAGGAAACTATTCAGCAGCATTAAAAGATGCAAGTTCATGGAAAGCAGGTGCCTAAGAAAAAAAGCCAGATACAAAAAATAAAATCAAACTTTTAGTGAATATGTGAGCTTTTAAATTACACTGACAGAAAGATAAAAGACTTCCTCAATACCTGGTGAAGAGTTGCTGGCAGCATTCGACTAGCTCTGTGCTGTTGGCAGGGAAATCTGTGGAATTGAAGGCACTTCCTAATAAGATGTGGCAAGGAACTTCCAGAGCAGGGACAATCAGCATTCCTGTGAAGTAAGTAACAACTTTCTGAATGAGTAATGAAGAGGAAGGTAAAACTTGGGGATGTCAGGCACTGCAGCATGGTCAGATGAAACGTTCTGGCTGATTTGAAATCAGCCTCTGAGATGGTTCTGTGTAAATGCAAGATTAAAACCCTCACTGTGAGGCATTTTTTAAATCTGTATGATTTCACAGAACTGGATTAAGGAGTGATCACTTGCATTGCTACAAATGCAGCATAACTCTACTTTAGTTACTGAAAGCGCTCTGGCCCAGTGTCCTGGGTTCAGCAGTGAGAAAACCATTACCATACCTTTTTAGTAACATTAAAGTCAGCAGAAAAACACAGTAGTCTAAAATGTTACTGTATTTTGAAGAAGAAAACCTTAAGCACATCCTATTCCCACTCACTCTGTGAGCCAGAGAATGCTAATGGCTTTCTCACTGCTGGGCCAGAGTGCTTTCAGTAACTAAAGTGGAGATGTGCTGCATTTGTAGCAATGCAAGTAAATTCAAAACCTTTTCTTTTCTTTTAGATGTGTTATAATTATAGATTACTTATCTTTGTTTGGCTAGATGTCCTTCAAAATTTCCTATAAACAGTAATATTTGCATTCATTGCAGTAATGAATATGAAAGAGACAGCTCCTTCTTCACATAGCGCTGTGGAATGTGGACACATTTTTAACATGTTCTTATCTTAACCGGGTAGTAGAAATTGCTTGGCTATTTTATCTTGTTCTGGGTGTAAGGAAAAGCACTAGTGTACTAGTTCTATAGCCTGCAGAAAATAGTGTGTGCTTATACTTAAAATGTGTATGTTTCTCTTGCTGCAATGAACACAAAGGGATAGGGAATCCATGGTAGAAGCAAACATGCCATTTTCAGCAACTTAAAGCACCAACACCTTTCATTGCTCTAGGAATATGAGTGCTTTAAGCTTCACTATATAATTCTGCGTATCACATGCTCGAAAAGAAAGCTGGGAAAGGTGCGGTTAAATATGGGGGTAATTTTTTTTTATTACCTGCTGAATAATATCTGGTCAATTATTTAATCTTTCAAATCATTAATATCATGTTCTTTCTACTTTCCTCCCTAAAATGGCTGTTGCATTGTGACTCTTTATTCAGCTTGAAGGTGGGACTTTGAAAATAAGGATCTGTTGCTGAGTCCCACCTTAGGGCAATTTCATTAATCTTAGTGCTCTGTCTGAATAGTATCAGCCCAAAATATCAATTCAATATTAAGGCAAAAGTCCTTTCAGCTTCCTCCTCACTATCCTTACACCTCAGTTCATTCCACTTCTCTATTTCTGCTCCGTAATTACTTCTGCATTTCTGTAGCCAGTAGTGTGTAACTCATCTGTAACTTGCTTTTCCCACGAGGCGTGTGTTACACACAGACTAACAAAAAAAGGAAAAGAAAAAGAAAAATAGATAAGACATAACGGAAGAAATGAAATAACTCCTGAACCCTCCATTGCACACTAACTTTTAATCCTGCCAAACTCGCAAGTACTAGCGTTTGTATGTCAGGAGCTGTTTCTCGTGTTACGCACTGCCACCCTGTGGTCACCGACTGTAAGAGACACCAAACCTGGATAATACCTGCAACGCAGGCTGTCATGAAACAGGCGACAGTACCCGCAATCATGGCTCTGAAAGCACCACCAGCGATTTCCTTTTTTTTGGAGGGAGCAATGCTTGCTAGGAAGAAAATGAAAGTGTGTGTCAAACATATGTACATGCAGATATAAAGAAGGGGAACTTGCTGTCTATTCCACCACAAGAGGAAATCCCCACCCTGCAGTTTGAATCAGGGGAAACAAGAAGGGGAAAAAAGACAGTTTTAGCTGGCCATTTGAAGGCCTACTGCTGGCTCTTTCTGTTTAGAAGGTGGCTTGTGTATAAAATGGACTGCAGTTTGCTTCTGCATTTTGAGTGGTTTTGCTGGCCAGTGGTGGCTTTCAGAAGTAAACCCCAGGCAGCGTACTGGGGTCTGGCGCTGTACTTGGTCCTGCTCCTCTGCTGGCCCACTGCTGGCACTGCAGAGTCCACTAGGCTCCCAGGTAAAGGTGCCTGCTAGAGATTCTGGCTGCCTAGTGAGGGAAACTTCTCTTTTTCCCTCAAGATCTGAAAAGTTCTTGTTCTTTTTGTTTTGTTTTTTTTTGTTGTTGTTGTTTGTTTTTTTTGTTTTGTTTTGGTTTGGTTTGGTTTTTTTTGTTTTAGCTTTTGTTGGTTGTTTGGATTTTGGTTTTTTGGTTTTTTGGTTTTGTTTGTATTTTTTTTTCCCTTTAAGACTACTGCATATATGTGACACTTTTACAGAAAAGAGCCAACTTCTTTCAGACCAGCAAGCTGCAGAGATGGTTTGATTCTCTTGAAGCCCAAGAGCTGTAGTAGCTCAGATCATGGTTTGAGGGCTGGAAAAGGAGGCCTGTCTGCAGGGCTTGGTCCCCTCCCCTTGCGCTCAGCCTCTCAGTACATCCACACCAAAGCCTGCACCCCTTTGGAGCCCTTCCATGCACTGTTGGGTGTTGGGTCTTAGGAAAGCACCTGCTCAGCCCTTAATGCTGCTAGGCTTTAATTACAGCCTGTTCCTTTGGTTATTTTCTTTAGGAGGTGCTTGCTAAATAAATTGTCTGCAAGATGTATTCTTACTCAGGCCTCCTATTACCAGTCCCAGAGAGCCGAAGTTGGCAAACCCACAAAGAGCATAGGTGGCAATGACTTCAGAGCGAACCTGGAAAACAAACACATACCCTGTTGAGTGGTTTGAGGCAGCTCATGCTGATTTAGAGATCAGAAAACATGGCATTGTGGCTCAGGGCTCTGAGTGCTGAAATCACTCTGTTTTGCTTGGTTGTCGCCCCAGCATGTGACTTTCAACAGGCTAGGCTCATACTCTTGCTGAGAAGTACCCACTGCCTTTGTGAGGATTCTTAAACCATGTGATGGTTTTATTTTTCATGTAATTTGCTGTGCCTTGTTGAATTGAGTACTAATAATTAAAGACAAAAAATAATTCTACTTACTAGTGGCAATTTGTCTTCTGTTTTCTGAAGGCATGAGTCAGAAAACTTTAACTCAGCTTATTGTCTATAGCTGGACTGCCTCTATAGCACTGCTGAAGCCTCAAGTTTAGGCATTTATCCCTGACTTTTTTGTCCTTGAACAAGCAGAGGCTTGGCTCCCTGTGCAAAGCTGCTGTGTGTGTGTGCTCCACCCTGTGCACAGAAGAGGGAAAGGGTCTTATGGAGAGTGGGACCTTTGATGTGATAACAGCAGAGGGTCATTATGATTTTGGAATCCCCATTAGCAGCTTATTTCCTCCCTCACTTCAGACATCTTCCTCCCTTTGGGCAACACCGGCTCAGTCTGGACTTCAGACTGGTTTGGCATTTCCTCCCATGGAGGGACCCCTCTTGGGACACAAAATCACTTTGAGTGAAATTGGGCTGAAAAATCTTGAAAACCTTCAGAAGAATGTGGTTCTAACATTTTGGGAAAGGAGAAAATCTATCTCAGCAAATGGATTTTTATCCCCCCTTGACAGCTTTCAGCTCCTAGTTACTGTGATTTAGACAAGCTGAAGATGCCTGAGTGAGTGTTCTAGCAGGTTTCTTGTTTGTTAGAAGCTTTTGTTTCCATTCCCGTTTTATGAAGACCAATTTGTCGATATTTTCAATCAGTCTGCACATATGCAGGAAAACGCTTTTCAAGTGCCCACTCTATCCACTTTTCCTAGAAAAGCCTTTATGTGCTGTGATTTTCCGGCTTTCATTTGAACTTTCCTAGGTCTGAAAACAGGAAGCCTTATTATTAGTGACTCAGGTGAGTGAGGCCTGAAGGCCACTTGTTTGCTCTCTCTGAAAGTGACTGGATGTATTAGAGAGTTCTGAAGCCGAAGAGAAATTAAAAAAGGAAAACAAGCGTAATCTCAGCTGAATTGTGCCGCAATTAAAATTGTTACTGGGCAATTTTTCCTTATGTTATGAATCAAAGTTATTTTTATATTTCACAGTTTTTTATCATGGAATTTAATACAGCTCTTCATAGTTATTAGAAGTGAATGTAGAAGTTCTATAAGAAAAAAAAAAAGAAAAAGAAAATGAAATACAGTTGATGGGATCTGCATCTTAAGGCTGACTTCCAGATTAAAAACCACCCCTATTCACTCATTCAGGAGTTCAGACCCATATTCCAGCTGTAGAACATAGCATGACTACAGCAGGGTATATCAAAACTCTATCTATCTAGCCCAGGATCCTATTTCCAGGATTCCCAGGAAGGGTAATGGATGCTCAGGAAAACATGGTCAGGAACATGTTTTTGGTTTTGTGTAGAAGGCAGGTATCCACAGCATCACACCAGTTTAACTGACAATTAAAAGCTGTACAAAAGGATGCTTCCTAATCAGAGGTCATCAACAATGGCAATTCATCTTGATTTGAGGAAGAAAAGCCAGTGCAGCTGCAAAAAAGACGAATATCAGGTTTTACATTGCCTGTACTTGGAAGGAGTCAAAATTCAGCACAGGTTCATGCTGGACAGAAGAACAGTTATGGCGACAAAAGTCACCCTTGATCACTGCATGCTCTTTGCCTCTGTGCACACACCTAGGATGCCCTTTGTGTTGCCGTTCTCCAGGTTACTTCTTCAGGGATTATGCATACTTTTGGGTGGATCTGGATGGATGTGTGAATGACAGTAGGCCCAGGCTTTAGCTGGAAATCCATATGCAAACTAACTTTCATTTGACAGTTGAAACAAATGGGTTGGACTCATTGTGGCAAGGGAGGTGTATGACATGTAATACATATCTTTAATCTATGACCCCTGCACAGGGGATAATAACCTCTAGCAGATGTGTACCAGTAATATCTTCAAGGCTATCACCTAAAGCTTGCTGGATTTCTCTCTTGGCTTGAAGTTTAATTCCTGGCTTAACCTCTGCAGGCAGGAGGATCCTCCAGTTTGCCCAGGATTTTCCTGGGAGAGTATCTCATAGGGAAGTGCTAGCTAAGAGTGCAGTAAAAAGACACTCACCTTGAAGACAAAGTTCATCGTAAGCACAGTGTCTTATGGGACATTACATGTCCCTCAAAACTATGCCTTTCTTCTGCTATGTTTGTTTGAAATAGCTAGTGTGCTGACAGTTATGGAACCTCACAAAGCAATGCTGCATTTTCACAACTGAACTATGTCACTGAAAGACACGCTTTAGAGTAATATACAACCATTATTGCTTTATGCCCATATTAAAAAATATGTTGAGTTCCAGAAGAAAACTATTAGATCCCATAAATCTGGACAATAAAAAATATTACTTACAGTCATGTACTGTTTCACACCATTAATGTACATGCTTCCACCCTTTTCTCGGTTGTGAATCAGTTGTGAGAGGCGCTCATAAGCCACGAACTCATTGAAGAAAGTTTTGTAACCTAGTAGTCCACCGACAGTAAAACTGTCTTCCCAGTCTACCCCCATCATGAAAGACAACGGCATGAAGACATAGGCACAAATGTTCTGCAAAATATATGAGAAAACAGGTCAAAAGTTCAAAGAACAAAGGTATGTTATAAGTTCCCTAAACCTTAAATAAAGATGGTTTTCTTTGAGCAAAGGAAACTTGGCCTTGAGTTCTTACTGCCAACACATTTGGGAGACTGAAGGTTTTCAATAGTGAGCTATGCTTGAGTACTTTCTAAAAGACTAACCCAAAATCTAGAAAGTAATTTGATATGTCCCTAATTTTACACCTAAAGCAAACCAAAAATTTCAGTACCTTTTTCCCCAACAGTAACTTCAGATTGAGTGTAGTGTTTGAAGCAAAGGAGGAAGGGCAAGTCAAAAGAACTGATAACAGATCGAGAAGTCTAGTTCTTCTGCTGATTAAATCAAGTATGTTAATGAACACGCCTAATTACCAGGTTATTGGACTCCAACTGGTGTAAACAAGAGTTGTCTACGCATAAAAGCTGACACAATTAAAACTGTACTTTTTTCCCTCACATTATAAGTTTTATGCAATATGGTTTATTTTTATATGAGAGAAAACAACTCTGGGTGTGAAAGGGTTTAGTCACATTGTCCTTAGTGAACATAACTGAGATGTTTAAGCAGTTACTACTCCTGGTTTCTGTGTCCACAAAAGACTACACGTTAGGGTCTCTCAAAAGGAACGGATGGCTGAATGCAGTATGTCTATGGGTCTCAGGTCCTTATGGTTTATCTATCTGTCCAAATCTTACTCCATCAGCAGTTATTAAAACACCAGCCCTTGAATGAGTGTGGCTGAGGTATACATACTTGACGTATACATACCCCCTCTGCAGTGGGTGTCTGCACAGTGGGATAATCTGTGGAAGCTGTGCAAGGTAACATCTTAATATTGCTGAAGCCATGTCTGCTCTGAGTATCTATTCATTTCTACAGCACCTTTATTGCAATGTTATATCCATGTTTCACAAAGGACTGTTATTAGAAGCTTGCAGAACAAGAAGTCCCAAACTGTTGAACCAAGATTGTTGTATGGATCAAAAATTATATGTGGACCTATGTAAACAAAAGAAGTCCTGTTTAAAACCTGTTTGCTCAGCTGAGTTATCTGGGTGCAGTTTTACAATATAATTGTGTTGAGAAATAAGTGACATTAAGTGTGGGTTCAGATAAGTCCTTCCTTGCCTCACTAACTGAAGCTAGTGAGCATTAAAGGCTTGATGGGGCTCTGAAGCTAAAGCCACTCTAAAGTTTAGCTGAATGTTAAAGGCCTGGGAATTGTGTAACTGACTTGGCATCTGCTGCACTGCCAAGTCAGAGGAGGTGGGTATTAGCATACAGATCTGTAAATATACTCTGTTAGTTAGCAAGAACCACAGAGGGAAACTATACATGGACTAATGGATTTAGAAATATTTACATGGCAACATTTTTCCTTTGGCTGTAAAAACAGTTTTCAGAAACATGCACACAAAAATATATGGGCTTAGACCATATTAAAACACAACAACAAAAACCCCAACAACCGACCAACCAACCAAACAAAAAAAACCCCAACTAACCATATGGGCACTTAATTTGAGAAAGGCAAATTATAGATATATATAAGCTGCATGAAGGACTTGAAAGACCAGATCATCATACCTCAAAGTTCAGCTGTGGATAGTCAAAAAGACTGCCCACCCAAGACAGGGCTGAGTCAAGGAAAGCTAGCAGGGCAAGGAAGGAGATCAGATTCACAGCGATGTTTGCTACCAGCAGAATGGATGTAGAAGCACCTTGACTGGCTGCTTCCAGTAGGTTCTTTGATTCACTTTATTGATGAAAAAAAAAAAGAAAAAAAGAGTGTGAACAATTTTTAATTCAAAACCAAATCATAGACTGAAAAGTTACATTGACTTAATTTGAGATCTACTACTGAAGCTGTCTGTTCACTCACAAGAGAAATAGTGATGATGTGGAGTAAGTTCTTGCTCTTGATCCTTTTAAGAGCCAGTGAGGGTGTATGTTTTTGGTGCCCTGAGGATGAATTCTGGCACATTTGGGGTTGGGCAAGATCTGGATCAGGTCACAGTACTGTGATTGCCTGTCCCCCACTGGGACAAGGGAGTGGGCACTGCTCTTCTTCCAGGCAACCCTTGCACAGATGCCTGGGCTGTTCAGGAACAGCTTCTTGCAAGATTTTTTGCTTTGCCTGTTCTCAACGCAAGTGAGTCTCCCTACAGATGGGCAACAAGTTCACTGCTGTCATTGCTGAAATGCTTGCTCCACTCTTGCCTTTGTCTGTTTGCATTTATAGATTTGTCACAAAGGACAGACAGCAACAAGGCATATGAGAATACCTCTTGGTGGCTCACCTCAGGTAGGCATTTTCCTCTTTCTTTGGAGAGTTTACTGTCTGGCCGAGGTCCTTGGCACCTCTGTGCCTGTCCCAGTGAGTAGTGATAATCTCCATACTTTGTACTGGGACATGCTGCACCTGAATTCACAAACTACTAATTTGGGGTATATTGGTGTGCCATTGATTTATTGCTTGCAAATCTACTGTGTGCTACCTCTAAAGCTTATGTGCAAGGAGTTATTTTTCCAAATCTCATCTGTGCATGAGTATAGCTATTAACTAGAGCTTAGATCAGCTTACCCTTTTGCCACCCGCAGCCCACTCAGAGTTACTGTAGGCTTTTCAGTTTCAGGCCAGAATAATTTGGAAGTGGCTAATGATGCTGGTGCTGACATGACGGAAGCAGTCAGTAGGTGGGAGGCAGAAACCTAAAATTCCAGTTGACAGAAAATATGCACATGGAAGAAAGAGATTGAAATTTTTAGACACTTGGATGATTTTTCTACAGGGGGTCATTAAAAAGTTCACATTGCTCAGACGGAAGAGAATGAGCAATACAGGAGAAAACCAACTTGACTCAGGAAAAATCTAGGTAGTGAAAAGTATGGACTAATTTTCCAAGAGGGAAACCGCTTCTGACTAGTGGCAAGCCTGAAGGCAAAACAAAAAAAAACCTGGGTCCATTGAGTGCAGTTAGGTGTAGTAAGCAAGAGTCAGCCTTCCGTAAGACCCCCTGTATGATATGCAGTGAGACAAAATTGATTTTGTTCTTTAAAGTTGTGTTTAAAAAAAAATTTACATGCTCTAACATAAATTCTATTCTCCTTTCACTCCTTATTCCACAAATTTCTACACAAAACAACTTCTTTGCTAACTTCTGCAGTATTTCTGTCTCTCCTTTTCTCTTGAATTGGCCTTTTTGGCCAATACTCACATCTTGCCTCTGCCTCCCCACTGTATGTTATTCAGATGTGGAACTAATATATTTATTAACCATCCCCTAGTGACTCTGATCATTAATCGGTCTTCTGGCTTTGTGTTGCCAGCCCCTTAGCAGACAAGCCATTTACTACCTTTGTTTGTAAAGCTTCACTAGAACCTCAGTCACAAGTTAACCCTTTAGGCTCATATGGCTAGCAATAGTTCCTGCAGGATTTTGTCTGTACCACTGCAACAGAAGTGGGAGAGTTGTTCAGTTAGTAAGTATATTCCACATGTCACTTCATGTAGACTATAGGAAAATATGCAAATCAGTCATTTCCTTGCAGCTATGCAGGAATTCTCTCTGTATTACAAGTAGATGTTTCTGCTACTTAGTATGTTCAGCATCAGATCTTGGTATCCATTTTACTGTCAGAAGACATGGGATTTCTCAGGTTCATTCCTTCATTAAAAAAAAAAAAAGATATGGGAATGACTCAGGTATACTTGCAAAGCATTTTAGCTGGACTTCTGTACTTACAGGATTTCAGACAACACATATTTTCCAGTTTTCTTTCCCCATCTTACCCCAAAAGAAATGTATGCTCCTAAGACACTTCCAGCAATAGTTGAGAATCCTGCTGTCATGACTGCATGGAGTTCAGATTTGGTGATGTATGGTAAGTAGGGCCGTACCAGGAGAGGCGACTCTGTCTGGAGTCAAAAAACAACTACCAAGTTAAGAACTTCCTCTTAAGACCTCAGAGGTTGTTTTATCAACAGGGCATCACACTTTCTTAGGTGTCTTTGACTAATTAATCTTAGTGCTAATGAGTGCTTTAATAAGTGGGGTTTGATTTTGGTTTTTACACCGAGATAGAAAATTGTACTAACATCCATCTTGTCTGAAGAGAATTCTTTCTGGTTTGCTGTCTCCCCTGACAGCCCAATGAAATTGGCAAGAAATCCGAATCCAATTAATTCTGTCTGAATTAGGTACAGCCAGAGGCAAGGCTGTGCATTAGATGAAATAGATATAGCATCCACTACAGGCAGCTTAAAGCTCCCAGCCTCTCTGCCATGTGTGTGAGCACATCCTGGAGGCAGTGTCATACAGAGGTACTAGTTTAAATCTTGAAGCAGGTGCAGTGATGCACCACTGCTAAACAACTGATATGTTAAGGTTGCTGTTGGGCTTGGATGCTGCATATTGATCTTTCCACATTGTTTAGAAGCCTGGGACAGCCACTACTGTAGTGCAGGTTTAAAGGATTTCCTATTAAAAAGGACTACTAGATTCTGTCACACATTTTGTGACCTACATTTTCGCTTGACTTTCTGTTGGGAAAACATATGGTTCCTGAAACCTACCCAGCTGCGCATTGCTGACGACATATGAATATTCTCAAATTCTAGAAATCAGCCACCAGTCCTGCTTTATTGGCGTCCTGACTTAATATGAAATTATGTTTTTTTTATACACAGGTACATACAGAACAGCAGTATTCCACAATTTTTAGTTACCCTGTGCTAGCATGTTTTTCTATGCTCCAACTCACCTGTCCCACGAATATGTTACCCGCAGCTACCAGAGACTCAACAGGAGTTGTCCCCATGAAAATCTGCATTATCCAACCAACCTAAAATGGTTAAAAAAGAAAAAAAGAAACAAACAACATTGGTCTGCCTATTCCGTGCACTTCTTGAATTAATTAATGTAAGCATTCTGAGACACCTTACAATATTTCATGAGTTAATAATTTCAGCTTCAAGATGTGGCATGTTAATTTAATAGTAATATTTGGAAATAAGCCAAGAATAATTGAACAGAATTGAGAGTACCTTAGGCTCCTCCTGGGCACTAAATAGTTAAACTAAATCAATCAAAGCAGATATTTTGATGTGTCACCTGTCCAAAGGGACTTGGATCATAAGAAGGGAAAAAATGTGAAATTTACATTAAAGCTAAAAATGCTAAAAAAAAAAGCTAAAAATGCCTCATAGAAATTTTAGCATGTTATTTCAGATAGGTAAGATTTGTGGTGTTTATAACAATCTTGTGAATGAGGATGACAAAGGACTCTTAAGGAATATCTTCAAATAAGGTTTAACTACCACCATGTGGGAAGATCTTTTCCCTCATATAGTAAGTTTATTGGGTGGACAGGGCAGGAAGTGGACTTTCTGTGAACTTAGCGACACTGATGGTGGACAGAAGACCTGACAGAAACAAACACTTAGATCTTGAGGTGAGAAACTGGCCTCTGATCGTAGCCTAAGGATCTGTGACAGGAAGGTATATGCAACTACTACTTCAATGCTTAGTAGAAAGCAGAAATCTAATGTCTGTGATGTAACCTCCATCTTGTACTTTGTGAGCTGTGAAAGGGGTAGGCAGAAAGACAGATTTAAGCAAGTATGGTGTCTGAGGAATGCTAAAGCTAGCCAGACAAATCTAACAATTACTGTGATGTTAGCAATACAACCAGGATGGGGACAGGAAAGTGTGCTATGTGATGCCAATTAGGAATTTGCAGTGATAATATTTAGAACTATTTCTGGGTTAAAAATAAACAATCACTTTTCATATGTCACCCCTGAGCAGCTTGATGCTGCTACAGCTCGTCTGCATGTGTTCAAAAAGTGTACTATACTAGTCAGATGAGTACCTACTGGCAAAAATTCATACCTTTCCAACAAGCCACTGCATGAATCCAATGTGGTAAAGCATAGACATCACTGTGCTGAAGAAAACCACAATAGGCAGTACCTGATTTGGAGACACAAAATCATTAACACTTCTAGAGAGGTTTTCCTTGATTCTGTAGACCATTTAAGTTTTGAAAAAAAAGGGGTCATGTTTTTGAAGATATACTTAAGGATGTTGAAAACTCATCATTAAGTTTATACTCATACTGTCAATTTTTTAACCTTCTAGCTCATTGTTTATGTTTGTGCCAGAATTAACTATTTCTTTCATGTATCTACAGTTTTCTAGCAGGACTGCAATAATTTTGAAACTGTCTGTTTTAGCATGATATACATTTATTTGAAGCTGTGTTTAAGACAGTTCAAATATTTACTGGGCAATGGCATCTATGAAGGCATGGATATGTACATCTGTAGACTCTGAAAACCAGGAGCAGAAATATATACAATGGGACTGTGGTGTAGAATTCAGAGCTCAGCTTCTCTGTGTCCGTGTTTAAAAAATAGTTTAGACTCCTACATAAACAGAAGTTGAAGAGTTTTTGATCGGGATTGTAGATGACTTAGTTTCACAGAATTGAGGGCAGCTTCCTTAGAAAGCCCATACTCTGTAGCTGCCCTTTAATAGTACACTATAGACAAATCCCCTTTTATTCTACTCGTGACATTAATTATAATGCCAATGAGGAGTATACAAGAGCTTTTTAACTGTACACAGACACAGAATCTGCTTAAAAACAAATTCACAGGTGTATATCTACTAAATATAGGAACTGAATATGTCTTTTTCAGGAGACTGAAAGAAAAATACTTTCCTTAAACATGTAATTTAAAAGAATTGCATGAATGGCTAACTCATTGTCTGGTGGATTATTAAATGTGTTGTTTTTTTATACTGAATAAAACTAACATCACTTGGTTCTCAAGCATGTTAAATGCACAGGATCTCAGCAGTTAACATGCTGAGAGTTACATACAAAAAAAAAAAAATCTCCCAAAGGCTCACAATTAGGCAGACAGATTTGTTGCAGTTAAAACGGTACTGCTAACACTAGGAAGCTTTTATGTGTGTTCAGCTGAGGGCATAATTCGTTATAAATAAAAGTAAGGAACAGAATGAAAAAATAACCAAAACACTTTGTAGTTTTGACCTTTTTGGTAAATAGAAGTTATGCCTTTCTAGAGGAAAGTTAATACTTTCAGCAATTTTGATAAACGTTTGGAAACTCAGTTTAGATGACCAGAACCTTTCACTGAAAGGAGAAGGTGCAATTCACAGATATTGTTGTGCTCTTCAACAAGTTACACCTAGCTAATAACAGCAAAAAGTTAGTATTTCTTTATTTTGATTTTGTGATCCTTTCAGTGATCCTCTAGGGGTAGTTTGCCATGCAGTGACAGAAGAAAATTTGGTTCAGAAAGCTGTAGTTTAGTTCAGTTCACCTTCTTCCCTGCCTTTTCTCTCCTGCCATTTCCCCTCCTTGTTCCTAAACGTTTTTAGACCTGAAAATACCTTTGATAACTTTAAAAATTGCTTTTCCATTTTTTGCAGTTCCAGGCATTTCTGAATGAAGTATTAGTCTTTACAAAACAGGGGATTTGCTTTTCAGTTGTGATCTTTTGTGCATTGATTGCATAAAGAAGCTGGGGACTATTTTATAACTAAGCACTCCTACCTAAATCCCCAGTGACTTAATGTGGTACCTATTATATTATGTCTTCATCAGAAGGGCGTAGAAACCATTTAAGAGGTAAGTAACGGTAATGAGTTGTCATGTCCAGGCTAGCTTTTATGAAAGGCGTAACAAAACCGCACAGAAAGCACTGCCAAATTATTACTCTAAAATAAGCAGAACATAAAAAGGACTTGCAAGATGTCACATTGCAGCCAGTTTTCAATTGTATGGTCTGCAGAGATAAACACAATGAAAAGCACTTAACATGAAACAGCTAGTTCATCTGAGGGAGAGGGAAAAAAAAAAACAAACAACCACTTCTTATAAAACTTTTTTTTTAAAGTAAAAACCACTTTATTCAAACAACCCCACTTTCACACAAAGGCTTCCCATAGTGTTAATACACTGAAATGTTAAGTCAGTGGTTTTGAATCTTGGGAGAGAGGAGAAAACAGCTACAAGAAAACTCCTTCTGTCCCCTGTCTACATGGAGTGGCCATCTTCTCTCCATGAGCCCCAGGAGGACTTTCACCTTTCTGCTAGGCTTATGTGGGGTTGCATTTTGTGGACGAGACAAGAGTGGTAAAACTGATGTAGGAGCATCTTCTCCCACTCCCAATCCACTCCTTCCCCTTCTTTGCCATGCCAGAACCAGGGGACTAGGTGGCACAGGGTCAGTAACAGAGGGCTCCCTCTGAGGGTGTTAGGGCTTGGGTAGCAGGGCATGCATGTCCAGGCAACACCTCTATGGTTAAGAGCTGTGCAGGGACATGGGAGAGCAAGAGGAAAGCTCAGATGGTGCTCCAGGGTCTGGCACCTGGTAAAGCATCTAAAGGGTGAAGGGACCCCAGCTAGCAGCAGGCCTGGGGCCGATGAAAAGAGCCCAGCCTTACTAGAGCTCCAGGTACAAAGTATAGGCTGTTGAGGAAGCAAATAGACCATGCAAACCTTTGTATCTGAGGAGGAGTCTGGAGGGCTAGGGATTTGGGTGAAGTACATGGGGGAAAGGCTGCTGGGAATAAAGGGTGCACAAGGATGATCTTAAGCTGTCTTGAGAACAACCTTTTTTCTGTAAGTTTAGGGCTGTCAAACGCATTGTGTACAGCAGGGAGAGGGCATGGTGCAACACCAGCCTTAATTGGCAGCGTTTCTTTTGTTGGCTAAATGTGAGATATACTTGTAAATAATAGGTCAAAAGTCCCCTTTGGTTTTTCTTTTTCTTTTCCGAAAGCATGCACTGATTACAAGAAATTGCTTTAAGGAAAGAAAAGCTCTTAAAACTCATTCTTCTGTCTCATGGACTGCCAATTTCTTCTTTCTGCTGGAGTGCTCTTATTCTCTGAGTGCAAAAGTCTGTTGCAAAGATGCAGTTACTCTGAACAGGGATGACAAAGAGATTGTCTCCAACTGGCTTCTGCTGTTAAGAAATTCATCAGTTTTATTTGGATATACACACACCATTACAGGCTGTAATGACAGCTGTCAACCCAGAGAAAAGTGGGGAGAGGACCACAAAAGGAAATACGAGAGAGAAGTCAGATGAACCTCAGCTGTAGCAAAAGCCTACTCCTCAAAAAGGGTTAGGGTATTTCCATACAGAAGTGGGTGTGTCCCACATTGTAATTATACCTGCATGATTAAACCAATAGGATTCTCTTTGTGGACAAACTTGTGTGGAAGTTTAGCCTCCAATATATATAGTTCCTGATATCTACTACATACCTTTAAATAGTCAAGTTTTAGCTTTAACTGATGAATAATTTAATGAGCATGTGGAAAAATCCCACATTTCAATGGAGAACTCGTATCAAAGTGCTCTTTAGAATTATACTTATGTGGCCTACCAGTGTTGCAGTTCATGATTCCCACAAAGCGATCTTTAAGAAAATAAATTCTTTAATTGCTATTTTTAATAAACTGGCATATCTCATACTTCTTACCTATACTGCAATATGGTTTGACCTTACTAAAGAACTACTTCCATGGTTACTTCCTATGTTACATGCAGGGAGAGAGCTGAAGCTGTTGGCTGCTCACAACTCCGCTCCCATTTGTGGCTTGATGTTCAGCTTTTTCCTAACATTCCTTTAAAGAAGTTGCTATTGACGTTTAAGGAACATCCTGGCTTCAGACGCTCCTGCAGCCTGACCTTCAAAACAAAGCCTTTCTCAGGGAGTCATACTCTTCCTGGCACAGAAAGATACTGATATAACAGAAGTCTAATATCCTGCTTGCTGGAAGCAGACCTTGCCTTTTGCAATCAACAGGATAGATGACTTAGTTCTAAGAGGCTTTTTCCATCTACTTAAATACTTGGGTGCACTTTTTTATATGGACAAGTGTTCTTTTTTCAGAACTCCGCAACCCTGCATCTGCATATACAGAAATCGCATTTAAACTAACCCAGTTTAAGCATACAAATGCATGTATTTATGACTAATTAGTGCTTCCAAGACTATGCTCAAGGTCTGTTGTGGGCCTGTAGTCTGGTGAGAATGCCCAGTGGGTGCATGCAAGAGATGTGTATGTGCTGGTAACTGTGTTCATCCAAGTTAGCAGAAAACTGAGGTTTTCCCTGCATACTGCTAAGGATGCAGTATGGATACAACTGGGCTCTGACATTTTTCTGTGAAGACATACCCTAACACTTGCCTACTCTCCATCAACAGCTAAGCTGAGACTGAGATTCTTCTCTTCTATGGGGCACTTTGAAATGTCTTGGAGCAAGATTTTGACAGCTCAGTGCTACATGCAAACCTCACAAAATTTCTGAAAGACACAAGAAAGCACTTTTGACCATCTAAATCTCAAAATAAACTACAAGTGTTTCAGGAGAGAATAGGCTGGCTGTCACTCACAGACCCTGGAAGCAATAAATCTCTTTCCACAAGATGAGCAGATGAAGCATGTTTTGGTGGAGCTGTGCACTTATCTGCCACTCTGTTTAACGTATATATTCTTATATCAAGATGTGCAGCTCTGAAAATCAACTCATGGGTTTGCTATAATCTACTTGTCCCTGTTGGCCTGTCCTAGACATTCCACATGTCTTTTGCTGACTTATCCCATAGAATAAGACTGATGGATGTGTGCATGCACAGAAGCAAACTTTTGATTGTCTGGTTCCTAGTTATGGCTTTAGTCAGCATAGTACTTTGCATCACCAAAGGCATTAAAAAATCATCTCGAAAAAAATCATAAGACATTGAGGAAAGCTACATGAATATCACTAGGGGTGTGAATTAAATGTTTTCATCCCCAAACTATGTAATTATGAAAGCAAGCTGTCATTTGAATGCTCAATAGAGTAAAGGTGAGAGGAGACTGGAAAGTGAAACAAAAGTTACAAAAATGCTGCAATGAAAACATAATTTTTGTTTCTTGCTGAAATGCTTGCTTTTCTCCTCATTAAGATGTTCTGACTATTCTTAGTAGTAGCATATTCTTTCTTTCTGAAGTACTGAAAGAGCTAAGTGTGAAATATCACCTCCAGAAAAATTAAGATGAAAGGAGTGTAAGCCCAAGGCTGTGTGTCTGCAATACCAGACAGATTAATACCAGACAGGTCTCTGGTAAAGTCCCTATACATTTCTCATAGTTGGATGTGGTTTTCTGATTCGGTTTTTGCTTGCTTGTTTTGTGGTTGTGCTGGTTTTTGTGTGTGTAGTTTTTTGTTTCATTTTGTTTTGTTTTTTTAATATGTTCTTGATGCCACCCTAAGCAGGCATTATGTTATGGGCTATATGTGGGAGCAGAAGCAGACAGGCTGCTGGCACAGGTTAGACAGCATAGAGAACATAAGCTGTATTTGGGCAGTTTTTCAACAGTGTTCTAACAGAGAGTTGGGAAATCTCCCTGGGATCTTATTAATATAATAATAATGTAATGTAATTCTTCCTGCTTTTACATGGCAGTTTCTACCTCTTCTATCTGGTGTCAGTACACTTGCCACTTCTACAGGGGCAATACCTGTGAGGTAGTCATCTGCACAGCGCTTTAGGATAGCACAGCATAGAGTGGTATAACATGTTTTCTCATGGAGAGGTGGGAAAGATAGACTGGCTTTCCACCACAAAGTAGGAGCCTTTTAACCTAATCATTGTAGAAACATACACCAAAGTTCTGTCTACTTGCAATACATATTGTCACAATTAGACTAAGTGTAGCCTAATTCAGTGTATGACTGTAAATAAAAGGGCTTTGTGTGGGGTTCCCAAACTTTCTATTCAGAATATCACGCAGTGGAGTTTATCTCTTAGCTGATGTCTTTGATGACTGCAGTAGTATTGCAAGAGATAAAATGAATTTATTTGCCAGCCATACTGTTCCTTTTTCTGCTGTCTATCTGCCACGCACAATATATATAAATCCTGACTTACCTTAAAAGCGAAGAAATGATCCATATATTTCTCACCGAATACAAACTTAGCACCTGTGTCAGAGTACTCCAGAAAAGTCTATGGACAGAAAACAGAGAAAGTTAGCCATAAGCTCCAGCTGCCTGCCAAAAAAACTATGCAAATATTGCTAGTTGTCTTACAGAGATCTGCTGGGGTCCAAGAAGCTTGGGATCTGCTCTGTATGGATCTGAGCTTTACTGACTGTGGCTGGCTAAACTGAGTATCTCTGTTCTGTTCTGCCAAGAGCACAGGCTGCTTCAGAGTATTTAGATAAACAGCAAGGGCATATTTTCCTGCACTACCCATCACAATGAAGGCCATAAACTGTACTAGAAGAAGATTTTACTTTTAAATCCTGATACTGTGGTGCATTTGTACACTCCCTCTCATACAAAAAAGTGCAGCAAACAATATAGTTCAAAATGGAGATGTGGAGATGTAGTGGCTGAAGTAATGAGTTCTGAAAGGAGTAGCCAAAAGCTAGTCTTAAAAAAACCTTCAACTTATTAATTCTGATATGATGATGCATTTTCAAGCTCCTGAAGCCAACATATGTAGTTAATCAATTAAATGATTTACAATTAAAAATGGATATATAATACGTAGTGTCGCGAGCTATGACAGAAGTGACCATAAACCCTACGGAGCTAACGAAAGGGGGCGCCAGACCAGCTTAAATCAGAGACAAAAGGAGAGAATTGAGAGCCTGGTGACAAAACCCAGATGACTCCCACTCTTGCAGATTAACAGCCAGACAGACGTCAGACCTGTACCTTTGCTCCCGCACAGAGACAGTACATTCTGCACTGTCTTATTTTGAATGCTCTTAATTATCTGCACTGTGAAGAACAGCTGTGAGAATGGTATCCCTGGGGTGAGAAATCTGAATGCCCTTCAGTGGGTACTCTGACCTACATTTTGGATTTCTCTTACTTATTACTTTACAGTAATGAGCTTTTTAAAAAACCTTTGTGCCTGCAGACTGCCTGCTGGGGCACCTACACACAGTTCCTACCCCCTCTCCAGAGATCCTTTTGCTGCTTGCAGCTGTGGATTTTGCCACCTGTAGTTGAATTAATTTTCTTATATGCCATGAGAACTATGAAATGGTCCTGGGGCAAGATGTGTGGCTTCTCTGAAGACAATGGTACTTCTGCCTTGCCAAATCCCAGCATACCAGGTTTATTGCGAGGATGTTTTGAAGCTGGGCCAGGTCTAAGAGTTTATGTGAGTGCCCTAGCACGATAGTGTTTTTTGTTTGGAGGGTGCAAGGTATAATTAATTATAAGGCCAAGGATGATAAGGTCATTAAGATTTATTATTTATGAGCCTGTCCCACATCTTCTTGTGTTAACTGGACAAAAAAAAACAAACCAACCAACCAAACCAAAAAACACTAAAATGTTGAATTCAGGGAGTCCTAAACATTTTGAGAACCCAGATTTTCTTGAGAGGGGAAAACATCCAGGGGCAAATGGACCCTTGAACTGCCTGGCTGCTATGTCAGATTGTCAAGACAGAAAATGATACAAATGTGGGGGTTGTTTGCCCTGTAGCTTACCTGGGTCTGAATGCCTAGCCAGTTAAATACATCAAACCCCACTTTGGTCCTCAGGATAAGCAGCCCAAGAATAAATTGCATTCCTATTCCTGAAAATACTGGTCTCCAAGCAACCTAGATGGACAGAAAAACAAAAACAGAAAAACCAACCAAAGAAACTCCTTGTCATCTAAAGATATAATAATTTATTTTAGAAGTTTGTTAAAACAATGTAAGGGGATATTTGACTATGTTGCAGGATAGGAGCAGCTGTGAAAATAGGTTGTAGGAGACTTGAAGCATGAATCGGCTCTCCTGATTTGAGAGCTCTATGAAGTGGATAACTCCATCTAAGATAGCTGATCAAAGCCTGGCTTGGTAAGTGTGGACATGCACATTTCAGTACCATAGAAAACAAGTAACCAAATAGTAGGAAAAGGAGAGATAGTTCTTCCTATGCTAAAGTTTATAGATTAAATAGACATACATCAAGGCAGTAGAAATTATTTTCTTCCTTTAAACTGGAATGGAAACATCAAAAAAAAGAAAAAAGTAACTGAGCATGTAGATTCTTCACATATTTGGAGTAGGAATACGGAGATTTTTCCACAATTTGTTTTGTGTGTGCTTGAGTAATTTCAACTCTGCTTCTGTTCCTCAGCTTTAAAGATCTTTGATACTTGCAAACTATTCACAGTTAGATATTGCAATTTATAAGACATAAAGGCAGTTGGAAAAACCATGCCTGCCTATGACTAGTGCCTCTTCACTATACTATAGATTTCTGCTTTGCTGCCTCAGAAAATATCTTTGTTTTGTGAAAATTGAATGTTATTATTTACAAGGCAAAGACCTGAGATGGCACTCTCCAATTTATTCAGATGATATTTGAATAACAGAAGCCAATTAGGTTTAATAAGTACCTATGGGAGAGCGCAAACCACTTGAAGTACGTGAGTTTACCTCAGTTGGAGACTGAGTCCCTGCTGAAGGTGCTTTTTCTGTTAAGAAAGCCTTAGCACTGATGCAGGAGTGTTGAAAAAGTTTTGGTAAAACTTGGTGACCCGGGCAATGGATTAGTCATTAATTTATGACTGATAAAAGTATGCACTGTATGCTAGGCATGCACACAAGGGTAAAATCTGAAGTGGGAGTTGTGGTGGCTAAAGTAACCCCTTTGTAATATCACAGCAGTACAGAAAGGACGTCATCTGGAAAATTAAAATAAATGTCATTGACAAGCCTATGGGAGTGGGTTAGAGAAAATGGAAGACCTCAGTTTGGCCTCAGCTGCTGCCTTTGCAGTGGAAATCAAACTTGTGAGAGATTTAGAGCAGCATAAATGAGGGAAATGTCTCCAGTTCCACGTGTTTTGCATTGATGTGATGACAGTGTCCTCAAATAAGTGCTTGTGATGTCCTGAAGACTGCTGTGAACCTCCTGAGAGTGGAAAGCATAGAGCAGGCCTCCCTCATCTTGCACTGATACTCAAGGAGGAAATGTGTTTCAATCATTTGCATCAGGGCTGGAACAAAGGACAGGCAGCAGACTCCCAGAATAGTGAGACTCAGATGCTGGTACAGCCCCACACCTGCTCCCCAAGACACCAGAGCAAAATTAATTTCCTCAGAAATTAAATACATCACTGGGCTTTGGTAAGCCTAAATTTTGATGTTCATGGGTTTTCCATTACTCTTGCTGAAGTCGGTACTAGCATAGAGAAATAGCTTTTGAGACATTGAACCAAAAAAAACCACAAAACCCCAAAAGAACCATTAAATACTTACTCTGGTTGGATATTTGGAAAAGATAAACATCAAGAGAACATACAACACAAGCCCACCAAAGGAGATCAGCTGGTGGGATCCTTGTTTTGCTGTGTCAAAGATGAGCCAGCAGATGATAGCTATAATAAGAGCTGCACACAAAACCCTAGGAAAAAGAAGAAGGATCAGGCATGGCATCCTGAAGTAGAACAGATATTCCTTCCCCTCCCCACAATAGATGTATCTCCGTATATGAATTAACTCTGAGTAATGTATTAAACTGAAATGCGTGACTCTACACAAGCAGGAACCTGCCTTTGCTGATGCAACATTCATTGGTGGCATCCAGAAGAAAAGTCCTCCAACCATGTCTCCAAAGTCAGAGTGTGGGGGAAACTCAATAAAGCACAAGTTACTCTTGTCTAGGAGTTATCTCTGTTAAATGAAGTGTGAGAAGATACCCTCCTTTCTCCTCCATCCTCCTTTACCTTCCCCGTGTTCTTTATTGAATCTTAGCTCCAGGCAAGGCGGGCTGTGTTTTTTTATGAATTGCACTCTGCTGTTTACATGGTGGATCCAAACTGCAGAGTGCAGGTTATAAACTGTTTACTTCTTTGTAACTGGCTGTAGTCTGTTTAGAAAAATAACTTAGCACAACAATTTCAGCTTTCTCAGAAACAGTGACAAGAGCCATGAGTGCACCTGTGTTCAGTGTTTGTATGGTCTCCAGTGTTACAGAGCTATGTTCAGCTTGCATATTGAAGCCTGAGAGGCAAAGAAATACACCATCCACTTACAGAGAAGAAAACTAAGCTTAGTCACAGTTCTCTAATGTTATTTGTGTCTAACAGTTGTTTAGCTTCTACTGATTTCGGTGGTACATAGATACTTATTTTTACCCAAAATGGTTAGCCATTGCATGGCTGAATAACATCTTCTACACCTGAGACACTTTCTGTCTCTTGGAGGAATCCATAACCTAGTTAAGCACTTAACCTGTAATATGTACAATTTAAGATTTGTAGCCCAAGTATTATGACTGCCCCTGGCTTGTTCCATCTGCTCATCAGGGCTCTCCTGTTCTGTTTGCTACTTCCCCCAGAGAGGCTGCCAGATTGCCTAGTGCAGGTGTCTGTGTGTAACTAGTCTCCAATGTGGCTCCCGAGCACGACCACAATCTTTACAGCATCTTTCTTAGAAATTTCTGCTCCTGCAGCAAACATTTTGAAATCTTATGAGAAAATTGGGACATTTCCCTGAACACAAAAATACTCCTCCTTAGAGCTCTTTCTCTCTGATAGAAGGTGACCTAGCTGAGACAGAAGGTAGCTGCCCAATTTCCCTTCCTTTTTAATGAGAATTCATTTGGCATTTACTTTGGTCTATAAGCCTCCTTTAGCTTCCCATTTTCCCAGGAATAACTTAAATATTCCCTATAACTGCTCAGGAATTCTTGGAGTAAGTATTTACCAGTTCGAAGGTTTTACCATTTGTCTACCAGATGAATGTCTATCATCTCAAATAAGGCTGTATGATCTTATTATGACACTAAAAATGTCTGGCTTGGTTTCATTCCTAAAGGTCAATTAAAAATTGCTATGTGGATATGTGAACAAGTAGTGTCTACATAACACACACTGATCTTTAGTAGTCTGCATATGTTAGAACTAAATTTTTTATGTATCTCATAAAATTGTCACTCTGAGCAAGTGACAATAAGGCACTTTCTGGCTTGCCTAATGAAGGCAGGCTACAACACACCTGAACTATTATGAACATGCTCTTTTCAAACCCAAAACTTGTCCTATCTGAATGTGAAGATTTCTTTTTTACACTTTCTGGCAAGATTTTTGATACCTTGGTATTGTATTGCAATCTTAAAAGGTGTACCTGACATCTATAAACTGGAAAATATTAAATTATTCTGTACGTATTCTTTGTTCTTATTGCAATTTGTATGATTGATCCATAACCCTGTGCTTATGGGTGTCTAAGGTGAAATAAAACTGTAGGGGTAAATTGACTAATGCTTTGTCTTTCTGCATAAATAGAAAATAATTAATATTTACCATTTCAGCCAAAAACACTGTTTCTCCAGATTTTGTACTCCAGCGGAAAAGTATGCAGCAATTCTGTCTCCATACTTAGCTATTAAAAAATCCCAGCAGATGAAGGAGATGGCTAGGACAGTGATGATAAAGAGTGGGAAGGCTCTCTGAAAATTCAAGCTGCAGGCTGCAACGACTACTGCCAAATATGCTGTCACAGAAACAAGAATATGTTGGTGAGTTTGGTCTTTTTAAAAACAGAATCAAATCTCAAATGTAAAGGATGTGGTTAAAGTTAGGCCTGTCTTTATCTTTTGAGTGCATTTTTGACCCTTGGCCTAAATATTGAAAAATTTTGTTTTCATACATAGTGTTTTTACTTATGATATGCTCATTGATATGAAAGGTGGCTTTCAACCTGTCGAAGCAGATTATATGCATTGACCAAGACAAATTCATATCAAACACGTTAATCACTTGGGAAAATCAAACATGTCTACAAAACTGCCTTTTCCTGTGTAAAACCTGTGAACAATGGGCCTTGTTCCTGCTTTCACAGGAAGATGAGTTTATCCAATAAAACTAGTAGAAGAAACACTTAAAAGCATTCATCAATTGCCTGATTTGATGGCCCTTTTGAGTAACTGGGAAGCTTAGAAGTAGTTTACTTCATAAAGTAACTGTGAATTGATTTGCCATTTTGCAGGTTCCTTGCAAATACCTGCAGGCCAGTGAAATATTCAGTTCTTGTAAATAATAATCTGATTTTGTCTAGGGCAAATAAGGCAGAAGAGCTACTGAGTTTTGTAAGGCAAGTTGGTTTTTATGGATTTAACCATGACATATCTGTAGAACTCACTTTTTTGAGCCAAGATATGTCTGTACTATGACAATGCAAGATGAGTTTATGCTAGGAGGGCAGGATATTCAGCATGCAAATGACCCTTTTCTAACCACTTATGATATGCTGATACGTATCACACAGACATATTTTACGTCTTTATGTTCTCAGTGCTCAAGTAGGAAGATCTCAAAAAGAAGCTTGGTGAATTGGAAGAAAACAAACCAACCTAGTGGTTAATTAGGAAAGGGACAAAGAAGAATATCTGAATGACTTTGCAGTGCATACTGGCATAAACCATATTTCCTCTAGCAAACATTTGCTGTGGATATCAAGTGATATGGGTCAGAACAGAAAACTTCCATTTCTAGCCTGCTGACTTAAGTTCAGTCCAAGTTGATGCCTGACTTTTTAATGTGATTTGTGCATGGTTTTGGGCAAGTTCCTGGAACTGTAATTTAACAAGCCTCCTGGAGTGGGCTGGTAATGAAGCAGACGCAAACAGAACTACCCTTTCATCCCAAATGTAATTGCTAGTCAGAGTTGACGCATGATGCAGGAGCAGTGTAGCAAGATCTGTGCTTTTGTTAAGTTTGGGAATGAGTGGAGGTTTTGTGATCTGGAACTTTCTCTGAGTCTAAATACATTTTTATCTTCTTTCAACTGTATTCTTTAAGACAAGAGTTTTTGTGTAAGATAGAAGACAGACACAGTCTATAATCTCATAAAGGTAAATAAATAAAACTTTACCTTAGGTGTAATACACTATACCTGTTGTTAAAATTCCATAGATTGCATAGTGAATTCTGGTCTTATGTTTCTTGCAAAATTCACAGGCTTTATTATATTTCTTTTCTAAATGTCTAGAAAAATGAAACAAAACAAAACCAAAAATAATAAAAAAAACAGAACAGAAACTTAGGACGTAAATAAAAATTAAAAAAAAAAAAAAAGTAATTTGCATAGGAAGATCAGGTTAAATTGATTAAATATTCTCTGTTGAAGTAGGCTGCACTTGGTAAGACTTAAAATCATACCCCAAAGTGCCAAAGAAAATTGTACTGACATCTGCAGAGCTTTTTGTGGGGACTCCTTTGATTTGATGTGGGACATGTTGTCACCGTTTAACCCCAGCCAGCAGCTAAGTAGCACACAACAGCTCCATCACTCCCTCCTAACCTCCAGTGGAACGGAGAGGAGAATTGGAAAAAGTAAAACACACATGTTGAAATAAGAACAATTTCATAATTTATATAAGACAATGATGATGATGATAATAATAATCGTAATAATAAGTAGTAGTAGTAGTAGTGGCAGTGGTGGTGGTAGTAGCTGTAGTATTAAAGTGAGAGAGAGAAGGATAAAGCCCACCATCCACCAACTGATACCCAACCCATCCCTGAGCAGCAACTTAGAGCCCAAGTTGGCCCCTTCCAGCCAACTGTGCCTAGTTTCCATAACGAGCATGATGTGCTGTGGTATGGAATATCCCTTTAGCTAGTTCGGGTCAGGTGTCCTGTCTCCGCTTCCTTCCAGCTTCTCCTGCCCCTCCTCACTGGCAGAGCATAAGACTGAAAAGTCCTTGGTCAGGGTATGGGCTGCTTAGCAACAACTAAAACACTGGTGTGTCATAATTCTTCTCAACCAAAACACAGCACAGCACCAGCTACAAGGAAGAAAATAAGTTAACTACCCCAGCCAAAACTAGGACACAGGTCAAAAAGAAAATCTGACTATCTAACTGGTCAAAGTTAGAAGGCCAATTCTGCTCACCTCTGAAGTACAACTCTTCAGAGGTCTATTAATACGGTTAGTGCATACTGGTAAGTAAAGATTCAATGCTCATTACTAGATCCATAAAGATTGTTAATGCAGCCAGCCCAACACCGCAATGTGTAGCAGTAGTAGTTGTAAAGGCCTAAAGCTGCATTTGTATATGCAAAATAACCAATATCCATCTAAAACCTCATTACAGTGTGTATAGATTTTTCTGTGTATTTGAAAAATTGATTGTTAATTAAATAAACTTTTCATATATGATTCATCATTTTATGGAAGCTAAACTGATTTATTACATTTGAATGTTTTATCCTAGTATCTGTTCTTCCACTTACTACACAACTTCACTTCTCTCTTTTCTCATCTTGCTAAGGGTAACACAGAGTGATTTTATGAAGTTTGGGGAAATTTTGGGAAATAGCAGCTAAGGGATTCAATTCAATATAGATTTCCAATGTTAAGCATGCTGGTGATGTGGACTTATTTCAGTTACAAAAGCTGTAGCTAGGTAAACACCCTTGTGTATTTGTGCAAGCTGAAAAAGAAATCACAGCTATAGCTCAGCTTTTCTAAGGCGGTGGCTCACACCCTACGGTCTATAAAGGCAACGTTATATAAACTGATTAAGTTAAAAGAAATTTAGATAAACAAGGAGTATTAACTTAATTCATATCAGCACTCAGAACAGTAAGGCAGGAACATATCCCTTCACCAGTGCAAAAAGTAAAAGGGTTTCTGGCAAGTCTTAATTTCTTCTGGTATTTCAGTTTTAGTTCTGGAAATTCCTGTTGCCTCACAGATCATAGCTTATTTTTTTAGTTGTAAGAACATGAGGTCATCTACCCAATCTCAGCAGAGATTAGCCATAATAGGAAAAGAAAAGGAGACATGAGAGACAGATGCTTGAATAAACCAAGAGGTCCTTTATCAAATTTACAGTTCATCCATCAAACAGAAAAAAGGGAAAAATATTATCTACTGTTAATGTTACTTATGAGTCTTCTGGGATTTAAAATTGTTATTTTAATATTGCAACTCATTGTAATCTCTTCTTTGCTGTAACATCTATTTCTCCCTTGTTATTTATTAATTTAGGTGGTATCAGGGTATTTTAATGTTGAGGCATATATATGTCACAAATATGCAGCTGTTCTGAAAGGAAAGAGTACTTCCTAAAAGCCAATCCTATAGGGTTAAAGTGAAGCAAGTTGGAGAAACATATCTCTTAAGCACATTTAAAGTTGAACTTCAATGTGAATATTTGTATAAACCAAAATTATTTTTGCTTGCGTTTTGCAACTCAAAAGCTTTTCTGATCTGCAGGTACTCTGTAAGTGAATGTCAATACCTTGAATGCTTGTTATGAACAGCAAATGGCTGTATAAACATCAAATGGGCTATGCCTCAGACCACAGGCTATCTGTACTATCTGTTGAAAGAAACCGATGACATTCAAACTGGAAGCACCCTTTGTGAATATCCCTTTTGAGACGTACAAGGAAGACATTAGGTCACATTAGTGCCTGCTTTTAGAAGCTAATTTACAAAAAAATAACTTAGTAAAGTTGTTGAGTTATAGAGCTGTCAGGTGCTCAAGATAAAAATAAACCCAGACAAAGCAGAAAACCAGCTACAGAACTGGAGAGCGCAGAACAGGCAGTAGCCTGACTGGAATCAGAATAGAGCAAAGTGATCTTCACCTTACAGCCCCGGCGGAGCTTTCACTGCCAGAAGGAATGGTACCTGCTGCTGATGGAAGAACAAGGGGACCTTGGGAACAGTAAGCTCTGCGAACTTTATTTATCCCTCGGTTCTTCATGGAAGTACAAATGAACAAAGATGAATAAAAAGCATACAGGCTTCAGCTCTACACCAACTCAACCCATCTCTGTGCAGAGGTGCCTCCTGTTGAGTGACACCTATGGGCCCATGTTTGAAGGGGAGAGACCCCACTAGCTTTGTACAGCCAATTGTGTACCAACACTTACCCATGCAGTTAACATAGTTGTGGGGTAAAGCTAGATACATGCCATTGGAGAGTCTCATCAAACTGGGATGTTTGACCTATCAAATCTCAGCCTTTTTTTTTTTTTTTTTTTCTCTGGACAAGACTCTAAATGTTTTAAACAAGGAAGTGTTTCATGAATTGCTAAAGAAATGACAAGCCTCCAAAGAACAGAGAGGCAAAATGAAGGAATATTTAAATTACTTCTAAATACTTTTGCTAGATTTTTGAAGCAGTATTTCATGCCATTATATAATGGTATCAGTAAAACTGATCATACTAACAAGTCCAAGTTCTGTATGTAAACATCGAAAGCATAACTAAAATCTTCACAGCTGCTTCTGTATGTAAGTGTGTACAGGCATGACATCTTTCCAAGCAGTCCCATCTGAGTAAGACAAACTGCTATTTGAGATATCGAGTACATGAGTTGCTCATAGAAAGACAGGTTCAAAACTGAAATGGCGTGCTGTCATATGAATGAATATGAAAAGAACAGTATGATTTCTATGAAGGCTTATATGAAGATTCAATATGACAGAAAAATACTAAGACATTAAAATAGTATTTTAAATTTTATTTTTTAATGTCTTATGCATGGTTTGTAGTTTTCACCAATAAACAAATCCTCAAGTAAAATGTAGATGTGTGCTTTCACGTGAGGTCACCTGACACCAGAATCAATGGTGTAAAAATTCTGCTCCATTAAACCAGCTTTTTTACATCTCCTCTCCTCTCCCCTCACTTTCCCCTTCTCCCTCTTGTCTCTTTTTCTTTTTGCACTGGGATAAATAGGTATGCAAACTAAAGGCCAACAGTGAATCTTTAAATTCCTGACAGAAAGTTCAAGACCTCTCCTTGAAAAAGACTTTTATGGAAACATCAGAAGAGTAATTAATGTAGTAAAGGAAAAAAAATCTTGCTCCTTTAATTTGAAAGGCTTTAGAAGAATCGTTCTACCATCACACACGTCAATGGAAAGGTGTAATGATTTTAAATACGTTTCTGTATTACTCAATTGCTAGGCAGTACAAAGGTGTGTTTAGAACAAGGGTATGGCAGTGAAATATGGCAGCTGTCACTCCAGAAGCACAAACACTGGCAGCTTATTCCTTAGGCCAAGGTGAAGTGAGTAGAAAAATTACTCATCCAAAAGACATTACCCTTTCAAGCGTGGTTGCTCATCATCTACTGAGTCACGTTTGTTTTCATGCAGATCACTCTCAATATTGATGTATTCATCCTCCTGGAAAACAGATCAGTGCCAAGGCTGTGAGAGGGGTGCATGCTTGATGAGTAAGGCACAAAACCCCAGATCCCTGCTGGCAGACGGCTGAAGCAGTGTCGAGGCTTTCCCATCTGCACTGAGCACTTGTCTCCAGCTCTCCTGTCTGCCACCAGCACTGTGATCAGTGTTAGGCAAGCCCAGTGGTTAGACTGTGGCTGTGAACTTTCCCAAGCCATCCACACCATTTTGAAAGGGAAAATAAAGGCGGGGGGGGGGGGGGGGGTGGGGGGGGTGGGAGAGGAATATCAGTTAGTGAGAGCTAAAAAGAGCATCATACAGACTACCACTGCATACATGCTGAAAGTGAGAGCTGCAGGTAGGGGTGGTAGAGCTGTCAAGTAGCCAGCTTGCCCAGCACCTCCTGTTGATGACCCCCACTTTTTGTTGCTTCTCTCTTTGCAGAATTTTAATATGGTGGAAATTTTATGTATGGAGGATGGTTAAATTGAGAGGGGAAAGGAACTTAGTGTTTTAAAAGTTTATCTAAGCCAATAAATCTGTTATTAAGAAAAGCTGCTGAGGAAAGGTAACAGGTAACAATCCTTTAAAGACAGCTAGAATCCATTTGCTATCTTTGTAGCAGAAACTTGACATTTTCATCAGAACACACCTTTATACTACCTGAATCCACATAAGCCTGGCTGCATTAAGCCTTTTGAACAACTGCAGCCTGACCTCCACCATGATAAAGGACTGTCCTTGGGGCAGCTAGGAACAGCACAGCTCCTGAAGTCACTCAGCACATGCCATGCCCACCTTGCATTTATTTCCCCGTCCCAGTCCTGAGGGACAGAGGGAAAGTGCCTATCCCATGCGTACATACCTCCACACTTGTGGCAGGGCCCACGGAGGGCCTGGTGACACAGGGCAGGTAACTGTTGGATTCAAAGGAAGCAGCATAACCACATATCGCCCTTGAGCCATGCTCCCATCTCATCATTTTAATGCCGTGCCAGGCCTGCCCTTGGGTGTCCCACCAGCACCACGGTGATGGCAGACAGCGTTTCCACAAACTAGTGGTCTTGTCCTGCTCTCTGGAGGGGAGCTGGCCTCTTGGTATGCAGCCAGCTGGGGTGGTGACAGGCTGCAGGTGAGCTTTCCTTTTCTTTTTCTGTCACTATCATTTGCACGAACATCATTCCCCAAACTGCTGTGTGAAGCAAGGCTCACCACGGACCTTGCCTTAGCCCCTTGCTTCCATCTGGCTTTCCTGCTGCAGATGCCATCGAAAGTCCTGGAAAGGCCTAAGTTAGTTCCTAGTGAGAGACCTGAACCAGCTCAAAGGCAAAGTTAACACAAAATGAGTAATAAAAACGTTTCAGAGGAATATGTACATAGAAGCTGCTACTCATTCCCCTAGGAGAAAGCTCAGCGTGACATGTACAGGAGTCTCAAGTCCTCTTGACTGCAGTTTTTGAAGGAGAAGAGGGGGTGGAAGCTGTGGAACTGCACTGTAACTTATGGCTGCATTTTCACTAACCTCAATTTCTATCTCTTTTTGGTCTTGACTGTGAAATAAAACAAACCTGAGAAATACAGATGTTGCCAACTGGGAGCATTCTTCTCAGTGGCTGTAGGAGGTGGGCTATTTACCTGAGTGACATTGGGTGCTGATAGTATCGTTTATTCCTGGGCTTAAATTTGGGGTATACTGCATGCAGCTGCTTATCACAGATTTTTCAACTTACATTATAAGTTAGGAAAGCCCAGCCCTCCAGGTTGAAGAGCCATGCTTTCATGTGAAGCCTTAGTTACAGCATGCCTGGGAAACGGTCAGTGCGAGTATATGTATCTCTACTACACCTGCACAAAGTAGTGACTGAACACTTTCACCTGAACCTTTTAAATGGGAAGCAGGATTCTTTGACTAACATGAAGCTTTCATCAACTGCAACTACTTTTCTCTGTTTTTAAAGTTTCCATCAGTTCCTTTTATTCTTTTTCTTTTTGACATTTTCCTTTTTGTTGTCTTTTGAAGAGGAAGGTACAGGTACTATCTATTAACCATCCTGTCTGAGGATCGCGGATCCTGGTCTAGTCCATAGGAGTGCATACCAGAACAGTCCAAGTGGTCCTTTCCATCATTGTAAGTCTGGAATCACTTCAGTTTTGAGAACAGAGGCATTTCTTTAGCAGCATGTCTTTTCTGACTTTGGTTGTATCAAAAAACTCCACTGGAAGACGCAAAAGAATATCCACAGCATCAGGAAAACTGTTTCTCACATGCTGCTTCAAGGACCATCACCAAACTTGGCAAGTAGGTACGTTTCCATGTTACATGTTACAATGGGGGAAATTCGAGAAGTTTTTCATAGAACTTTTAGGGTATCAGGTTGCAAATTGAATGTGGATTTGAAAATAATAATACATGACACTAGTAAAATATCTGTGGGTATTTTTAACCTGACTTCCATGTCTTCATAGTAAGCTACTCACTATGGTGGCTTAAACAAATGTACAGTCAGAAAAAGGCAAAATGGAAGTGTTTCTTGTGAATTAATCTGTATTGTATTCTCCTCTTTTTTGTCTGGTGAATTGTAAATCAGAGCTGTTACCTCCAGTTTGTGTTTGTCAAGAAATTTTCCTTATTTTGAAGAACAGGTATTTAATAAAATATATGCCCTGTCTGACTGAAAGATTGTGTCATGAAATCCAATGTTTCCAGCTTCTCTTTCTCCCACTCCTCAGGAAAAAAATGCTCTGTATCAACTTGTCATCCATGGTATGCTCTCCGATCACTATATCTGATGCCTCTTTTTTATCTTGTATAAAGCAGTTATGATATTAGAAAACATTTTTCTGAATCCTCCACATCCTGTCAATTTTCCATGTTTTTTCCTAATTTCTGAGAACAGACCTCGCTTCCCTGTCAGTTTATGAAATTTAAATCAAATTCAGGCTTTCTAAAAGTATATATCTTGGAAGTATCATCATAGCCAATTGCTGAAATTGAATGTGAGGTTCATAAAGTTACATAAGATTATTAAAGAAACCCCCCAAAACCTAAATCATACCTGGTTAATATGTACAGTTTTCTTATTTCCTGAATTCTTCATTCTCTGTGAATTATCTCCAGGACCTTTCATATTTGTAACATCCACACCTTTACAGTCGCTCTGGGGTGTGACAAAACCAGAAAATGTATTGGTTCAAATAAAAAACCAAAAGCCTTTCTCATATGCAGCAAGAACTGATTTATACTCTGATGCCTGTGCTTCTATGTTTCAATTAACTAATACAGGGACCCCGCAACTCAGTGTACAGAGCTCAGGTGTTCAAGTCCTCATGCTATTACACAAATCTGCATCTGCCATGGGTGTTGCTTAGCTACTGTGAATCTGCTGTTTTCTTGACCCAAACTCATATGTATCCCCAGTGCTCTGCTTTGCCTCAGCACTGGTTCAACAAGTTTGCAAAGATCTAGCCCTTCTCCCCACCAAGGGCAGAAAGGCCTATCTGGGCCTTCCCTGTTAGTACCTTTACTCCACTATATATGCTCCTTATGCATATGCAGTAAATACATATTTTTTAAAAAAGATGCCCTTCTACTGCTCTTGGAAACTCCTGGAGTGCCTTTAAAGAGAGCCTTACTGCATTAGTTGTAGGTGGTATACCTACAGAGTTGAAGACATCCATAATCAACTCCACTATTCCTACTACTACTATTATTATTATTAATTAATTATTAGTTTTCTTTTTCTTAATGTTTTGAAGTGTACATTATTTCTTTATAATGATCCTTGAAGGGCTGCTTCTTATTTTGGTTTTGTAAGAAAGCTTCTTAAACTAAATGTTAAACAATATATACCCACAATTGATATAAATGTTTCATATTTCAGTGGTTTCTTGCGGCAGCAATTATGATACAGTCATTCCACTGTGTTTTATTGCATCAAGTATCTCATTACTTACATGGTAATAAAACAGGTAAATGAGTATCTACACTTAGCCTTCTCAGAAAATGATCATTTCCAAATGAACAATATAAAAATGAGCTTAATCATAGTAAATTATAATAAAGGCAGGAATTGGCAGTACTACTAGACATAAATTAAATTTTGCCTTTTAATGGAAACATGACTGTAGAAACAACCAGGGCACTTCCCAGTAACATATGCTCCTTAAAGATGTTCTGCCTCTAAACTTCACAAAAAATTGGTTTCGGTAAAAATGTTTCTGCAATCTTGTGTGTCTGGTGAAAAAGGAAGGAGTTGCAAGAAGCTGTTTATTCACCTGCTGTGTCTCTGATAAACCAGATGCTGACATATCAGTTCCCTTCCTTCTAAGAGAAGAATGTCTTTGCATTCCCTTCAGAGGAATTTATATCTTTATCAAAAGCATCTCTGTTACTCTTTGCATTCTAACCATACTGCATTAGGAGTCTGTCATAGCTGTCCCTGCAGTCAACAGTGAAAGCCTCTACTGAACTCTCCATAAAGTGCAAAAAACCATTCATCGCAAGAACCAGTGCTTAACTGTAGCATTGAGATATATTCAAAAGAGAGCATAGTGAAGATGAAGTGGTTCAGTTCTGTAATTGGCACACACCCGCCCCTTGGATAGTCTCTTTGAAGTCTGAGCAAGAAAAAGCAGAGATGTCTTAGAATTTTTTTCAGCAAACATGAAACCCAGTAAGCACCTATGAAACAACTGCTGTCTACAAACAGTGGAAGTACAGAAATTGGAAGAAACCTCTATGAGTCACTTTGTCCAACCCACTGCTCACCTGTAATAATTACATAATTTCTAGAAAATTTAGTTAAAATATATGAATGTATGAGTAATGTAGCAGAAATCTAGTAACAGCATGATGTGATTGATAGGACTCTAAACAGCCCACACTTCAGAATGTTATATTTGTGTTATTTTCTGCAAGCATAAACCCCACTGATTTCAGCTGATTATACCACATTTCTGGTATATTCCAGAATCTGTAGAAACTGGCTAACTATTATTGATAACAGGTTTACTTCAGTAAGAGAGTACTGTTGACTAAAGCACCCATTAAATGCCATGAAGCTGAGTAATTTTCTTATATTTCATAGTTGATTCTTCAAGTACAAAGTCTTCAGCCTCCTCTTTATACATTATTTTTTATTTTGTTTGGCGAAAATGCATGTTATTTAACCTTATCCCTTGGGGAAAAAAAAAAAAAGAACAAAAAAGAAAAAATATTTTTAATTTCTTATAAGAATAGCAATATTTAAGTAATAATAAATAAAACCACCTATTCCCTTTTCCTGTTTGCTTAGAGTCTGAGTTTGCTGAAGGAACATCACACCAAAATGTCAACCTGCCTGTTTTTATCACCTGCTGTTGCAGATTGCTACCAAAGCACCAAGCCAGAAAGCTTCATTTGTACAGTATCCTTTTCCACCTTCCTGGAAATGTCTGTAGAACAAAACACTACAACAGAAAATGGGAGTTCAAGCCTTAGGAACTATAGCTAGCATGGCCCTTATATGAGTACACACCAGATCCGGCAATATGCCATGTCACTTCTGAACCTACTCGGTCTGTAGTGTCATAAGGAAGCAGGAAGTTAAAACCAAATAAGAGGAGCTTGGAGGGGAAAATTCTCTTCCCATTAGGCCACACTTGAAGTATTACAGAATCGATCCATCTGTTTTGAATGCTAGCAATACGAAAAGTGTTACACAGTTGTGCTTCTGATTTCACACTCTTCTGCACTTTTACTGATTGAAATTTCCTGCTTCTAAAATACTTGATTACATGGCAAGGGCATGGGTACTTGAAAGTGAAGTGCTCTTACAATGTTTGTTTAGTTCCCTCTAGATGAGCAGTTCATTTGCCAAGTTTTTTTGCACCACTACATTCTTTGACCTTCCCTCCTGTGTACTCCCAGCCTTTTGAAGGAGGGATTGGTCTTGCTAAAAGGGTGTAACTTCTATGACTTACGCTTTTAACAGCAGCGCATGCTTTTAGAGTAGAGGGGTTTCCACCCCTGCCAGTTAGTGATGAAAACAGTTTGGCTATCAGAGCATCCAGACAGCTCCTTAAACTGTTTATGGTTTAAGAGTGGGTCATTACATTAGCTTTGGAGATTAGAATCAGGGTACTTAAGGAACTCTGTGAAAAAACACATGCTTCAAAGCAAATGTTTTAAGCTACCAGGCTAGATTTCATTGGATTTCAGATTGCACTCAGTCAACTGAAATGCAACCGTATGGTTCACTGTTCAAAACTTTGCTATTCTTTTAATATTCAGTGTAATTGAAAACCATTCATCTAAGTTTTCCCCCATGTATTAACTTTTGCTAGTCAGTGTCAAAATTCTGAACCAGTAAAAGTGCACTTTAAATATGGATGGAAAAAATTTTTGATCAATAATCACAGCATTCTTAAATTCCTGTCAGATTATAAAATTCAGTGTAAGGGCTGGAGGGATGAATGCTCTTATCCATGTGTTACACTACAGTAAATGAGCTGTTGAGACAGAAGATAAAAGACATGTACTGCCAGATTTAAATTCAGCTGGATAAATCTTCATGAGGTGTTTTGAAATGGGTTGTAAATTAGCCTCACCCACCTCTGAGTACACTAGTATTTTCTTTAAAAGCTTAAATTATCAGTCTTGAGTGGGATAGTTGGATATTATCCTGAAATGCCGGATAAACAGGTTAAAATGACAGACCGGCAAAAGCCGGCCATAAAAAAAAAAAAAAAAAAAAATAGGAAATCCATTTGCTCTCAGAACAAGTAAAATGCATCAGAGGCAGAAAGCAAAAGCCAGAAAATATAAAAAAGAAAAAAAGATTTGCACATTCCTGAGAAGATAAAATGGTGCACGTGAGCCCCGCTGTTAATGACATTCAAAACATCTATTGGTGGCAAGCAGAAACACAATGAGGATGACAAAGACAAGAATCCTAAAAATGTTTTTTACAAGGAATGTTTACTTAACCTGAGAAGAAAAGAGCTTAAAGGCACAACTAATTTTCACTGCTTCCTGTAAGAAAAGGGGTAGTATGTTACAGTTAAATTATTAAAAAACCAAACCAAAACCTAAAAAAAAACAAAAAACCCTGAATTTAGAAAGCAAGTTTCAAAAATGTGAAAAAGGACTGCATACTTTCCTGTGTGCATCTGATAAGAGTTACGCGGTGCAATGCCTTCCTAGTTTCCAAGAGAAATTACAGCAATTATGGAAATGAAATGTAGATTCTTAATACTGCCGATGGTCTTTAATTAACCAACCAGACAAAAGTATCTAGGAAGTTCTGGAGAATGGAGATAAACACAGAAATATACGGCATTTTTTATGACATGTTATAAGCTTGTTTGAATGAAATGGAGTACAAAAGCTGTGTATGTTGTAGCAATACCAAAGTCCTTATGTAGCACGAGTAAAAGGCAGAATTTTAACAGGCATCCTTCATCACGTCAGTTTCTTAAGAGCACGGTGTGCTCTTCTACAGAAACAAGTACTGACTGTTTAATGCATCATAACATTGACAACAGGGGGTCGTCGAACAATAAATATTTATTAGCTGTTACCATTTTATGTTTATGTCTGAGTTCCTTTTAAAAATCAGGGATTTTTTTCATCCCACCTACCATTCCTTTTTATGAGCCAGCTCTTATCATTCCTTGAGGAGTAAGTGTGAGTTGTTGTTTAATGTCATCATTAGCAGAGATCTGAATCATCAGAACTGATTAGTTAAAATCTTTGTCTCTTAAATGATGGTTATACAAAGCTAAGTAAATCCAATCTCAGTTTTAGGGTTCCTGTTAACTGTTGCAGGTTTTCTGAGCAGGAATTCTGCGGGCAACAGTAGTAATCTTCCAGCTAGTGCCATAAGGGAGAAGTTAACCACACTGAATGCAAGAGACACAATAGTGTTTCTATACATTGCATATGACATTATTATACATATAGATACAGAATGTATTACATTAGCATGTAGACACTAAACACGGACAATCTTTGGAACAGTGATGAGAGTCTGAAGATAAAAGTTTAGGTTCCTTACATTGTGTGACATAATTTAAGGGGATAAAAGACAAACTCCTCTGTATAAACAGTGTGGCAATCTGTTAATTCTAGCCTCTGTGATACAGTTAAAAGCCTGTTTCACTAGAAAATCCGTTTGCGTGGATGTGTGTGTTTAAATATCAATAGGCAATGTGAAACTGAGAAGTGCTTAGTTATCCCCCTCTGATCATTTGTATCGCTAGTCAAAGGCAGATTACCCTTTATTCAACCTCTTCATCCCTTTTAGAGTGCCCCACAACAGAAGGCACAATGCCTCCCATTCTTGACATTATAAATCTCCGTTATGATTCTTCATCCATCATTTGTTAGACTTGAGCTGCTTTTTTACGCTGAAAGCTGTTTCCCTAACTTATTTACTTTATAAAACAAACTACCTACCCCGGGTTTACTTTGTCCCTGTCTTATTTTTTCTATCTCTTTGTGTGTTAATCATTAAATGGCTCAGGTACATCTGAAAGTACCTATGGAGTGCAATCCCACATCGATACTACAAATGGCTTAAATCCAGAACACTTCTGTATTTTGTGGTTTAGGGAAGATACTCATAGCTTGATTCTACAAGACACTGTATTTTGGAGGAAGAAAAGCATTTAATCTTTCTGCAAGAAACGTTCAAATAGGGAAAAAAAAAATCATGAGACTGCTGTCTTCTCTGTGACTCCTACTGTGAAGTGATTTATTTTTCTATACACATAAGTATTTCCTTCTGTGTCTTATTTTCTCTAGGGAGCAACTTATATATTGAGTCAGAGAAAGACAGTGTAAGGGTAAATGTGAATAATTTTATGGTGTTCCAGGAAAAAAATTAACCAGAAAACCTGATTCAGGCCCCAGGTTTCGTTGCTGCACAGTATTCCTGATTTGACATTTGCATTATTTAAATAGGAGAGGATATGTGGGCTCTTGCAAACTTCTGCAGTGGGAAGGAAATGAAGCACCTGGGTTTCCTGCATATTGCCCAGGTGAGCTAGCTGTGTAAGGCAGTGTACTAACCCGAATCACTGCACTGTTCTCCGCAGACTGCTGAGGAAAGAAATGATTTTCAGCTTAGGTACTGAGATTCTGCAGCTAGGGAAGGACTTCTTTACTTCAAGGGTTTGAAGGCAGAGACTTTTGGAAGCTGACTTCACTATCTTAGGCACAAATTTTGTGGGAAAAGGCAGCAAGGATGAAGCCCTCTCCTATCACATTCACTTGCACTGAGGGAGACCCAAGTTGAAATGCTTTTGGCTATCATCCCTGAAGCACAGATGCATTTGGGGGCACTTTGATTACCCAGGAGAATGCCCGAACCACTGGGCTATTATGTTTTAAGAGAGTTATCTGTTTGTCTACTCTTGAAGCTGCCCTACTTAGCATGAATTATTAACTGTTGACTGGAGTAGGGACTTGTCCCTAATTCCCTTACATTCCACAAATATTCCCTGATCGGCAGATTATCAAATCAATCTATTGCTTCTCTGTCTCTATAGCCCAATGAATAAATATACAGAGCGGTTGGATGTCACTGGTGTTACACAATATTCCACGTGCTTAGCATTCACAAAGACCTTTCTGTGTTATTTGAATAGTGTCTGGCTGATATTCACACCCACTATGTGCTACTTTTCCTGCTAGCTGAGCTAAGGGCCGGCATAGGGATCTGAAGCTGCAGAGAGGAAGGGGTACTTTGCTACCGCAGTGCTCTTCAGAGCCAGGTTCTCTGACTTGTTCTACTTTCGGCAACAAGTACAGTGAACCAGCCTGGATATGGGTTCCCTGCCTTAATTCTTATTAAAGTGCAGGGATACTGGGCACTGAGAAACATAACTAACTTCTTAACAGTTTTTGGTGCTTCCATTTTTGAAACCTTTTTCAAAAATGGTTGTTAACATTACTATATATGCACAATACGCAGAACTTTCTGGGTTAGCGCCTTACCTCCTGTCTGTGCTCTTCTTGGAAGTAGGAGACAATTGCACTTATTTAATGTATGGAAGAAAGAAGATATGCCACATGTGGTTATGTAAATATTTTTCTCATATTATTAATATTGATTTGATGAGGTGTATGTCTGCTGCATAATGATGACCTCGTCTCCAACAGAACTGTGAATTACCTATCCTCCTGAAAAAGCAGGAACTGATATAGCAGATGGGAGAGGTGGATGAGCTAGTTCTGAGACACATCAGCCTAGGAAATATTACTGAGGAGGCTTTTCAAAGACACTGGTATACCAGGCAGCAGACAAACAGTAAGAGGAGCCTACTTGAATGTGTCAGTTGTGCTCCAGCCTTGTACTTTGGCAGGGTATCAGTGCAAAGCATGTTGAATGTTGTAAAATATCTGCAGGCAGAAGCAGAAATTGTTACATCTTTTTTTTTTTTCAGGGACTGAAATAAACATTGTTCATTGCTTGTTTGTAAGTCCTTCAACTTCCTACAAAGCAAAAGAAACCACGCTTACCTGGAAGGCCAAATTGTGCACTCCCGAGTGATCACAGGTGGTCTCCTTCAGCTCCATGTGTATAGTATGGGCAGAAGAGCTTTGGGTAAATGTTGAAAGATACTTGCAGCACAGGGCAACAGCAGCCAGCACCTTGTTAATCCATCCACAGGTCGGCGAGTATCACTTGAGGTCTAGTTAGCTGGAAACACTCTCGGGCTGCTCTTGCTCACTCAGGACTCCACCTTCTCACTCCCTTGGCACAGCCCCTTTTGGCCAGTGTGGCAAACTGCATTGTTTCCTTAGACAAGAAGGGAGAACACCTGTGGGCCCCAAGAGGCCGATATATCCGTGGGTGATCCCAAAGGCAAATGTGTGCATTTACATGACACACACTTGGCTTTCGACACTTGCCTGGGGGAAGATCTTCCACACCCAGACCTTTGAGAGGTCAGCACAGTTTTTGTCTTTTTTTTACAGCTATTCTCAAGTTACAGTTTCTGTGATGTTATCATGGCTCTATTTTCATGGTGGTTAGAGACTTCATCTAGCCAGAGAAAACAATAGAAAATTAACAACTCAGAAACCTCCATAACAAACAGCGGTTAAGCATTTTCAGATGGCATGTCAAATCTGATGGCATAGGGTCATTTGGATGTCTGTCCTCAGATTACTCACTTTTAAATAACAGTTTTCTAATACTTTCCAGGCTTGCTATTTGCAGAATGGCAAAATTATGTTCTTAGAACTGTCAGTTGGGTCTCCTACCCATGGTTTTGATTGCTTTTGGACTTTTGTCTTTACAGCTTGTTCTGTGTAAGTTCACTGGAAATAGTAGCACTGTCACAGACGTTAATGTCAGAATTTGAAAGAATATAAATTTTGTCTTCAAGGACAACAAAAATTAGGGAATGTTTTATTTCTCTGAAATACAGCAACATATAGTTTTGTACGCATTAGGTGCCTTAATTTGTAACTTTCTGCATGGGGTTTGTAAATGTCATGAGTTTTGCCTCCTCCCGTGATAAAAAGCAAAAATTATACCCTGTTTTAGGAATACAGACAGAATGAACCAGCATGACTGAACATATTCTTGGAAACAAAGAATAGTTACATGAAAATTAAGAAGATACATCCTCCCAACTATGCTTAATTATATTATAAATCATACAGTTGCAATATATGATCTCCGATCTCTCTTCATAACTCTTGCTCAAAAGGGAGACTAGGGTGTTGTGTTTTTTTTTCTTGTGTGTGGGTTTGGTTTTTTGTTTGTTTTTCTTTTTTTAAAGTAAGGAGTGCATGACTCTTAATGATATACTCTGTTTTTCAGTGTCAGAATCTTTTTTGATGCCCCAGGTTTTGAAAGCTTCTTTGTTGCCATTTGTATTTGCCCTGTGAGTAGAGCAATTTCTGCGAGTAATTGCTTCTCCCTGCACGTTAATCACCAGCAAAAATACCTGCAAATCTCTTTAGCAAGTTTGATATAATTGTCTGCTGATTAGTGCATACCTCAGCTGTTTTTCTCTTCCTTTCTTCCTTTTCTCCTCTTGCCAGTTTTGGACATGCTTTTTTACTATCAGAGTGAAGAGGGCAGAGAAAATAAGACAGTGAATGATTTTCAAATCAGCCCATTCAATGTTAAAATCTGTAGTCTGCATTTGCATGGATGGGAGAAAGTTCTACCCTGCTGACTATGCCAAGACACAAGTATTTCCTGCTATTGTTCCTATTCTTCTGACAACTTATTAGATCATTTTAAAAAATGGTTTTCTCATTGAAAAAATACCAGAATAACACCAACTCAATCATTTCAGTGCAGTTTCTTCCTCTGAATTATATTTTACATTAGAAATCTCAGAAGATACTGAAAACAAAGCCATCTACAGATTCAAGACAAATCCTGAACCTACTGTAGAAAGCATTAAATATGCCATTTCCCTGTGGACAAAGGACCATGTAGTTAAACAAAACGTTTACTTAGTGATAATTTTTGTAGGGACCAGCCAACAGCCTACTTGTTTGATTTTCAGCAAACCCCTTTCCATTTCAGGTTAGATTAAATACTGACAGGAGCACATAAACTCTCAAGAAATGTTATGTCTCTGAAGGATATCACATCCTGCCATTTCAATTGATAAGAAGACTGGACAACTGTTTTCCTCTTATGTGATTCTCCAGCTACAAGAAGGCATTAAAGAGCCATACTCTAAATTTTAGGGTGTTTTTACAACATAGACTAATAGTGCTAGGCTCATCCTATATGTGTTGCCAAAGTTCTACTAATACTTGAGAGAAAAATTTCCAGTAATCAGAACTGCTTCCTAAAAAAAGCAATAAGAAACTTTATAGTCTGTACCAGTATTTGTATAGTAACTCTAAACTCTCAGAGGAAAACCACTCAAAAAGCCTAATTCTTTCACTGACTTTCACATATAATTTTTTCCCTCTAGTGTGAATAATACATGAAGGCAGTATTTCTTGTTCGAAGACATAAATAAACTTTTTCCGGGTGCTTCTCACTTTCTTTTTTAATGCTAGAAGATTATGAATTAGTTGAAAGTATATTGTTGTTTTGTTTAGCAGACCTCAGAAACTAGGAAAGGAAAACATTTTATTATATGAAACAGTAATCTGGAAAAGAAGATCAATAGCACAGTAAGTATGCAAAACTGCTTTTTTGATATGGACTAAGGAAAGTTTCATTTTGATGTATTGTGTGTCTTTCTAATTTTACAGGCAGCTGGCACAATGAACCACTGTTATTTTATCACAAATATGACTGAAGCCTAGAAAATGAATACATTTGAGAAAAAAAGATGTTTTTAAAAAAGTTTTGTATAGAACGGTTATTTTATTGTATCCTTTCCACATGAGAAGTGCTCTCAGTTATTCCTCTGAAATTTATTAAGGAAGCAGAAAGCTTAACTATAAGCCAGTCTTCCTTATCCTTCTGTCTTCTCCAAGTGAAAAAGGCCCTTTCCATATTTGAAGAAAAGTGGACCAAAAGGATATTCTTCATTAAAATCTGTAATCTCCAAGCTGCAGGTGTTTACACTGTGGCCTGTTCAGTTCTTAGGAACATATTCATTATGTTACCAATAAAAAGATAAACTCGAAGTCAGTATCATGAGAATAAAGGATGACGGGAAGAAATTAACTGTCTTCTTGGAAAGAAATACAATTCTGTGAGTGTAAAAATCATCCCTCAACACAGAGGTTTCTTGGAAAATCTAACTTTGGGACTAACTTTTACCAAAGGTGAACTTTTTCCACCCCGTCACCTTCCCCCCCACCCCCCCCCAAAAAAAAGAAAAAAATAAAATTTCCAGCTACAGATCCTGCATAAGTAGGGGAAAGCAGAAAGTAGAAAGTTCTTACCAAAATAAAAAGTCTTTAAATAATCAGAATGGTGTCAAGTTTGATGAGAGGTGGACACAAAACCTTGAACCTTCATTTTAAAAAAACATTTACATCTGTACAAAGTGACAATAAATGCCATTAAAGAAATATTATGTGTCTTTTTGTACACTTTGTACAAATGTGTTTTTTCCGTACCTCATAAAACATTAGGATTGAGCAAACTGTGCTGTTCATTCACCTTCAGTTTTTGTTAAGAAAAAAAAAGAAAAATTATTAAACTTTTCAGAAAATTAGATACTCTAATGGGGTTGGGATATAAGGGATGGACAGTCCATGGAACCTGACATGCTAGGCATGATACCTAGCCAGTTTGGAATACATTGCATTCTTTCATAACGTGTGGTGGAGAAATTTTTTGCTACGTAGAAAAATGATGGGTGGAAAAATGTCATCATTTTAAGAATAATTTTGACTTCTTGCCAGATGGATCTTATAAAAATATACTGCTCCTAGTCATGAAGTGGCTGTTGTCACCTTCTCCCCCAGGTGCTGCTATGAGTTCAGTCTTTGCTCCACACCAGTCACAGTCTCTTGTCCAGTAAATCTCTGGTTCCTACTCTGGCTCCCAGCTCTCCCTCTGAGATACTTCTGAAATCTGTTCGAGTATTTGAGCAAAGTAACTGCTGAGAAAGTTATTCACTTTCTTGTGTTTTTTTTGTGGCAGAAATGAAACTTTCTAATTTTTTCCAGTTATCCTAAAGTTGCCCCTTGACAGGAGGGAAATGTTAATGTAAAAGAACATCATGTTTAACAAATGTCATAAATTAGGGAAGGAAAGACTTTCTGGAAGAAAGATAAGGGCTATTGTGTTTACCTGGAGACAAATACTCATGTAAGGCTAAACAGCAGGAATCCTACAGCTGTGGATTCTCAGACCACTTCAGGAAAGTTTAAAGAAGACCACCCCAAAGGGAAAAGGCTTTCTAAGAAGCAGAAAAACGATTTTATGTGATACCTTAATCATGCAATACAGCCTAAGTAAAGGAAAATAAGACTACACAGGTACTTCCGTTCCACATTTATGTGAATACAGAATGAAAACAAATAAGCAAAGCCCAAACAAAAGAAGAAAGGTATACACTTAAAGGTAATATGAGGTATTATTTCAAAGAATTTGAATAAGGAAGTTACTTAATTAGGGCAAAAAACTTCCCTAGGTTCAATGACTACATTTCAGAAAGGGTTTTGCCACTTGCTGGTGGGAACTTCTGTGTGAATCTAAGCTCAAAGACAAAATGCAATTAAGCTTACAAGGCTTTTGAGGCTTTTAACATTTTATTAATCTAAAATTTTCTTATTAATCTATAAGATCTTCATCAATAGATGGTATTTCGATATAAGTCTCAATCTAACTGAGGAAAATACGTCTACTGTCTGTCTGTCACTTAGACTGTTTTTTCTAACCTTTTATGCATAGAAATATTACTGGCATCAATCTGTCATGTGAAAATAAGCTGAAATGTTAGCATCACTTATTTTCTTTGGGAGGTCTCTTTTCTTTTCCCTTTCCCTTTCCCTTTCCCTTTCCCTTTCCCTTTCCCTTTCCTTTCCTTCTTTTCTTTTTTCTTCCCTTCCCTTCCCTTCCCTTCCCTTCCCTTCCCTTCCCTTCCCTTCCCTTCCCTTCCCTTCCCTTCCCTTCCCTTCCCTTCCCTTCCCTTCCCTTCCCTTCCCTTCCCTTCCCTTTTTATTCTGCTTGAAAAATTATACTTTTTGTATGCTAGAAATCTTTCCAACATAACTTCTAGTCATAGCTCAGACACATGAATAGAGCCTACAGTGTAAACACAACTGATTTTGGTGGGACAACTGTTGCAATATGCTTCACACAGGATGCAGTTCGTCTCTAGGTATGTGTGAAGGCTCATTAATTGACTTTTAATGTATAATAATTTTGCCTTTCTATTCAATGGGATGAAAAGATAGTCAACAAGGTAGCCAATCACTGCACTAGAGAAAATTAGACCTCTGAGGCAGAAA